CCCCCCTGGCACTCCGTGGCCTGCTTGTTCTCAGGCTGACGGCAGGTGCCTGAGAACGAGCCCGGAGCACGGGGTGGCCCCCAGAGCTAGGCGTGCTTTGCCCAGAAACACAGGCTGCATGGCTGACAAGTGACAGCAGGTCTCAGCTCAGGGGGCTGGCCGGGGACGGAGGGGCGTCTGCCTGCACGGCCCTCCTGTGATGTCTCCACCCGGCCACTCGGGCAGCAGGGCGGGCCCCACACTCCAACGAGGATGTTGTCTGGTTTTGACTGGACCACCTCACCCCACCTCGGCCCCCGGACACCACACTGCCCTCCGTTGCAGCCCCTGCCCTGGGTCCTGCCTCCACAGCTGACTTGCTGGGGGGAGGCGGGGCCAGGTCACCACGCATCCCCTCCCCAAGCACCCGCATGCCTACAGCTTGTGTGTTCACATCCTGTGTGATGTGCGTGCATAATATGTGGTGTATTTATTGCATGTGATGTGTGCATTGTGTGATGTGTGTGCTATGTGTAGTGTGAACACTGTGTGGTGTGTGCACTGGATGCGGTGTGTGCACTGTGTGTGATGTGTGCATTGTGTGTAGTATGTGTTGTGTGTGCATTGTGTGTGGTGTGTGCAGTGTGTGTGGCGTGTGCACTGTGTATACTGTGTGCGCATCATATGTGGTGTGTGCACTGTGTGTGATGTGCATGGTGTGTGCACTGTGTGGTGTGTGCACATCATATGTGGTGTGTGCGCTGTGTGTGATGTGTTTGCACTGTGTGTGATGTGTGTGCATTGTATGTGTGCACTGTGTGGTGTGTGCACTATGTGTAGTGTGTGCACTATGTGTAGTGTGAGCATTGTGTGGCATGAGCACTGTTTGTGGTGTGTGCACTGGATGTGGTGTGTGCAGTGGATGTGGTATGTGCACTGGATGTGGTGTGTGCACTGTGTGTAGTATGTGTGGCATGTGTGCACCGTGTGTGGTGTGTGCACTGTGTGTGGTGTGTGCATTGTGTGTGGTGTGCATGCATTGGGTGTGATGTGTGTGCACTGTGTGCACATGTGTGTGTGTGTGTGTGTGTGTGTGGCATGGGAGGAGTACAAGACACTCATGTCTGTGAACCCCCACCCCCTCTGCAGTTGAGATTTTCTATTCTTGGGGTCCCTGGCCACGGTGACGGCATCTGCTATAAGCATCACGCCCACAGCTCCGGAACGCTCAGGGCTCTGCGGGGCAGGGGCGTCTTGGTGGCCGTCCCCCCTCCCGCCAGGCAGGGCGCTCCTCAGAGCACACCGAGGCGGGTGCAGGCCGTGACCTGTCCCTTCCGCTCGCCGGAGGTCGCGACGCCTGGCTCCCTTCCAGGAGTTCTCCCGCTTCCACGAGGAGACCCTGCCCATGCTGGAGCGCCTGCAGGACAACCGGCAGCACTGGAAGGCGCTGGCTGACGAGCATGAGGAGCGGCTGCGGGCCCTGGAGGGGGAGCGGCAGCAGGAGGAGCGGACGGTGGCCAGGAAAGGTCGGCCCTGGTGCGGGGCGGCCGGGTTAGCCCGTCACCGAGGGAAGGACAGTGGAGCTGAGAGGAGAGGCCGTGTCCCTGGGCCTCACCGCAGAGGCGGCCACGGGGCCGGCCACCAGGAGGCCCAACCACGTCCACGGGTGAGACGGTGACTTAGGAGCTCACCAGCCGGACGCAAGGGCTCTTCCTGCTGGTCCACGTGGGGACTCCGTGGACCAGGAAGTGATTGTGGAGTGCTCCTTCCTTGACGAGGCAGCCCGCCGAGATATCGCCAACTCTCCCCCGACCTTTCCCTCATGCACAGTCCCCTCCACCAGCTCAGAAAACCCACCTGTACCTCCGTCCCCTCCCCCCACGCACACGCACACACACCTACACATGCACATCTACACGTGCTCACATGCACACACACAGGAAAGGAAGAGCTGGGAGCCGTGTCCAGCACAGCCGTTGGCCTGTTCGCCCTGGACGGTGGGAAGGTGGCTGCAGTGGAGCGGCCCAGCCAGTCTGGCTGGACTCCAGGGCCACATGTCCGCCTGTGCCGGCCACCCAGATCGGGGGCTTTTGTTGCTATTCCCTGCGGCTCCCTGCTGTGGGGCTGGGGGCGGCCGGGGCTGTGAGATAAGAGCGGTGAGCCCCAGAGATCTGCTTAGCTGACCACAAACCCTCTTGCCCTCCCACGGGGCCAGCAGAGGGCATGCAGGCCGCAGGGGGGGGGGGGCTGGGGCAGGCGTGGCCCTCCCTCAGTGCTCGCCTTCTCTTGCAGGGGGCACAGGAATCTGCAACGGAGACCTAGCACCCAGGTCCTCGAGCTGCTGCGTCCTGTGAGCACGCGGGCAGGGCTTCCAGCCCTGGGTGCCCACCTGGCACAGAGGTTAGGGAGCCCAAGACGACGCTGGATGCTTTGAGTGTTTTCATCAGCTGAAGTCCACGACAAACAACCGCGTCTCCTGCCCTACACTTACACTCCTCGCCTTGGATGCGTGGTCACGACGGAGACCCTGAGCGGCTGTGGCCAGTGTCGGAGGCTCTGGGGAGAAGCCTGCTCTGTGTCTATGTGGACACGGAGGTGCTGGCTCTCCGCTGGCTGCAGAAACAATGTGTGGCCAGAACTGTAGAATAAACGAGAACAAGCTGCCCCTTTTCTCTGTGGTGGGAAGTGTGGCCGAGGGCACGTTGCACATGACCGACTGGAGTGAGCAGTGAGAAAGAACCAGAACAAAGGCTGTGTGTGCTGCTGCTGAGGGACGAGGTCTGGCTGCCCAGCCCCTCCCCTGCAGCTGGGGGGCCCCACACGCCTCCGATGGCTCCACATGAGCCAGGAAGAAAGGCAGTCACCCCCAAACTGGAAGCAAGGACACAGGCGAGGGGGTGCTCCTACTCTGGCAGAAATTAGGACCTTTAACTCCCGATGTGAGCTCCGGGCACCTGTTCCCGACACGGGGTGACAGGACTCCCAGAAACAGCCAGTTCTGAGGGCACCCGATGCTCCCCCGGAGAGGGGGAGGGGTGGGCTGGAGCCCATAGCCAGGCCTCGGAGAGGGGCATTCATTTCCATCTCAGGGGCCAGAGGCACCTGGTGGCTGACCGGTGCCTGTGCCTGGGGCTGGGCTCCGCCAGGTCCCAGAGGAACTCGGCACCACGTCACCAACCTCACAGGGGCCTCCCTGAACCAAAACCAGGGCTTCGAGGTGCTGGTGTGCTGCTCCCCATATTCCCCTTCACGTGCACGCAAACTCGTTTTATAATGAAATGGGCGGGAAAGAGCTGAGCTTGGCTCTCCCTTGGTTCAGGGCCCAGCCCTGTCCTGTTCTCGGGCCACATCCCTTCCTGGGTGTCAGAGGAGCTGGAGATCCGTGTCTCACCTGAGGGCACCAGCCCCGCCCCCACCTTTGCACTGCAAGCCCCCACCCCGTGCCCAGGGCCTGGCCCAGCTCAGAGGGCTGGTGGTCCAGCTGTGTCTCCATTACAGACGGCACCCTTAGGGCCTGTGTTCCCACACACACATCTGTGGTGGGTAATCATTCCTTTCTGCCATCTTCTGGTGCCATTTAATTTTCAAGTTGTTTTGCTTCTTGATTTGAAACGCTTTCCCTTGCTTATACCCATATTAGAGACCTGGCTCATGAAATTCATGCACTGGAGCGGGGGGAATGTCCCTCATTCCAGCCTGCACCCTCTCCAACCTGGGACATCTCACAATCCAGGACTATTGGCTCCCAACTACTCGATTGCCCGCCTAATCACCCCCTAACCACTCCCTTGCCCCTGCCAGCTGGATTACTTGCCCTCCCCTGCAGGCCTAGTCCTCCCCAACTGCACCCCCCCCCTTGCCGGCCATCTTTGACCACATAGGGCAGCCATCTTGTGCAAGGGTCCATTTGCATATTACCTCTTTATTATCTAGGATTCCTTTCTCCTTGAGAGCCCCCAATGTGGCTTCCTTTCATTTTGGGGACCCCCAAGCATCATTTTTCCCTCAAGAGAGATGCACCTCTTCAAAGCTCAGAGAACCCCGGCTGGGCCAGAGCAGAAAGCCCGAACACTGAGCGTGCAGGCTGGTTTGGGTGCTACCTGGGCTGTGGAGGACCAGGCTGTCAAGCAGCCATGAGGGTCAGTGTGTGTTCTGAATGGCAGCACTCCAACCGCAGGTGGAAGAATGAGGCTTCTAATCAGTATGTGCCAACAGACGGTAAACCGTAAGAGCTACCTAAACCAAACCCGATCTCCGGAGCTAACATGCCCAGGCATCCAGCTAGTCCATGCTGTACCTTCTGAGGCAGAGAACAGTGCTGCTTGGGACCGGCTGTCCCTGGACAAAGTCCTCACCTGTGTCCGGAAACCCAGGACTGTAGCCCTGGCATTTCCTGGAAGCTGAGTGTACCTGCCATCACCCCCCAGCAGTTCTGAGACTGAAGCCAGAGCCAATCAGGGTGACAAGGGAATCCCCTCATGCCAGGGACTAGGGACTCCAGCATGGCCACTATGGCGGAGGTAGAGCTAGGATGGTCAGGCGGAGGTGGCAAAGTTGGGGGGGAGGGGAGGAAGGAGCCAGCAGCCTGAATGACTCCACACAAAATACTGTCTCGATTCCAAAGCAGCACCATGACCTTCAGCTGCTGGCCCTGGGTGGCCTCAGGGGAGGACACCACACCAGCGCGCTCTGCTTTCTCTGATGCTCCCAGCACCCCTCCCGAGCCCTTCCTTCTGCCTTCGGTTCCTTTTACTCGCATCCAACTGGTGTCTTCGTCCTTCTTCCCCTGACTCTGACTCCCACCAAATCCTCAGGCTCCAGCCCTCGGGGCCTTGGTATTTCCACAGGCGTTCAGATACAGAGGGTCCAGCCCTGAGGCTCCTGGGACCCCAGGCCCCACCCCTCCCCAGGAGCCCCGGTGTGAGGGCAGCCATTGTCCCAGCTCAGGTGGCCTCTCGTGCTCCTGAAACCCCCCCTCCCGTGTCCACCGAACGCACTGAGGAGCCAAGCAGAGCCAGAGCCTCACTCAGCACAGAGAGCTTTACTCAGGGCCCTGCTCCAGGCCGCTCACTCCAGGATGCGCTCACTTCAGGATGCTGTCCTCCCGGGCTGGAAGAGGAAGGAGGGGCGTCACTGCCGGTCCCAGCCCCTTAAAGGAGCACCTGGGCTTCCGGGTGATCCACTCCACACCCCGCTCCCACGGAGCCTGACTAGGCCCGCTTGGCTTCCGCTCCAACTCCCCAGGTGGCCCCCACCCTGCAGGGCAGAGGAATGTGCCTCCAGGTCCCATGGCCTCGCCTAAGGCGGGGCGTGGCCACGCCCCTGGACCACCCTGGGCTCCTCTCCGCCTCCACTGAGGGTGGCTAGAAGCTGTTTGTCCCAGAAAATCTGGGCGGAGGGCAAATCTCTAAGGTTCAGACCCCAGTACCTTCTGCCAGTTCCCTCTCGATCCGTTTCAGCTCATCCTGCCTCTTCTTCTCCTCGGCAGCCACTCTCCTCTCCTCCTCCGCCCGTGGCTTCAGGTAACCTGTGGGGCGGCAGGAAGGGGGCAGTGCCGATGAGCCTCCTCGGACACGCTCCCAACAGCAGCTCAGTTCCCGCCAGTGCTCCCTTCCGGGGCGCCACGAACCCCACGAGCTTGCTTTTCATTCTCCTTCACCTCCACGTCCGCAAGGCCTGCAGGGCGCCCCTTGGCAGAGCCCCACCCGGAGGGGGCGCCAGGGTCCCACCAGGGTCCCACCGCCCAGCGCTGGACTCAGGCCAGCTCTCGCCCACCCAGCTGTCATCCACCACAGGTTTCTAGCGGCCCCCTCACCCCATTTCCAACCCCCGCTCCCCAGACACCCCAAGTTCCAGGCCCCCAAGTCCCCAGGCCCACCGGTTTCCAGGCTCCCCAGGTTCCCAGACCCCCATCCCCCAGTTTCTAGGACCCCCCGGGTTCCCAAACACCCCGGATTCCGGGCCCCCCAGGTTTCTAAGCCCTCCGTGTTCCCAGACTCCCCCCGCGTTTTCAGGCCCCCAGTTCCCAGGCCCCGCGGTTCCCAGGACCTTCCCCCTCCCCCAGGTTCCCAAGCACCCCGGTCCCAGGCCCCGGGGCGCGGTGCCGGGTCCACGGCGGTACTCACTGTGGCGCTTGGCTCCGTAGGTCACGCCGAGGAACAGGGCGGAGTAGCGGCAGAGCTGCGGGGAGAGGGCGGTCAGAGGCGGCGGGAGGCGCCGGGGTGCGGGGCGCGGGCGGGGGACCGGGGCGCACCGGGGGGCGGGGGCGGGGGGCGGGGGTCGGCGGGGCCCACGCACAGCCGAGCGCCGGGAGGCGGCTGCGAACCCTAGTTCACCTTGATGAGCGGAGAAACCTGCACTGGCGGCACCATCTTGTCCGTGACCCTCACACCGGAAGCACAATCCGGGGCGGACGAAGGCGTCACGAGGCCCCCCAAAGCCGGAAGTCGCCTAAGTGTACGGGAGCCCGCGCGTGCGCTGTCGGCCACAAGCGAGCGGCGCGCCCCCTGGCGGCCAGAGGGAACGGTGCGTGCCCGCGGGTGTGCGCGTGACGTCACCGTGCGCGCACGGTCCGGGCTGCGCGGGGGTTGCGCGTGCGCGATGGCGGGGGATGTGCGGGGCGGCGGCTGCGCGGGGCCCAGTGAGTGAGCGCCCCGAGCGCCCGTGGGCCCGCGCGCCGAGCCCGAACTTTGGGCCTGAGTCAGGCTCCCCGGCCGTCACCGCTCCTGGCCCCCGGGCCTCCCCCGCAGGGCGCTGGGAGCCGGTGTTTGTTAGAACACCTGGCGGCGGGGCGGGGCGGGGCGGTCCGGGCAGGCGGCTGAGCCCCGCACTGCGGCCTCGGGGCCTTCCTGCATCCGCGCTGCGCGGTGCCTCCCGCCACCCCGGGCCAGTCTCCCGGAAGGAGTGCCCCTGCAGGGCCCGCTTCCCGGGTCTCCCCGCTCCCGCCCTCGGGACCGCAACCCAGGTCCACCCAGGCCTCAGGGGCCTCTGGGCGGAAGCCACGGTCACCCCGCGGGGTCCCTTCCCCTCCCTGCGCCCCCTGGCCCTCGGAGAACACCGCCAGGCAGAGCAGGGGTGCAAGGGTGCTGGCTGCCCAGCCTCCACACACACACACACACACACACACACACACACACACCCGTGCTGGCACATGGTTCCCCTGGCAACTGGCTGGGGCCGCCCGGGGGGGCTCCCCCCAGAGCCTTTGGGAGAAGCTCCCTGGGAGCCAGGGCTCGGGGCCAGGAGGAACGGCCGGAGGGTTACTCCTCACCAAGCCCCGGCTTTCCGAAGAACGGAAAGGGAACCGGGAGGGCAGGAGGCTCCGACAGGAGTGACTGATGAGTGCCTCTGGAGGGCGGTGGGGAGGGACCCCTCCGGGCCGGCCCTCCCGCAGCTGCCTCCTCCGCAGCCCTGGCCGGTGTCCGGCTGGAAAGTCACTGTGTGTGTGTCCCGGCCTGAGGAGGCGGAGGCGGGTGGGTGGTGCAGGCCCCCTCCGGGGTGCAGGCCTCCACCCTCAGGGCTCCCGAAGGGAAAGAGAAGGTTCTCGGGCCCCACAAATACAGGACAAACGCCCTGTGCCCACGGAGTGCCCGCACTCAGCACATGCCTCCTCGCCCCAAGCAGTTGGGCGGTGACCACAGGTGATAACCGCCTTCACCCTTCCCCGATTTTAAAATAAGCCAGGCTCCTCAGCAACTCCTCTTCCAGAGTCAAAAATAAGTGTGGGGGGAAGGTGGGGCAGAGGGCGGGTGGGGCCACACACCAGCGCCCCCTCGGGGTGAGGTTTGGGGGGCCACAGGCACACAGGCACCCCCCCAGGGCAGACCCCCGGAGCCCACACAGCCCCCATGGCCACGGCCCTTCCTGGGGTGGGCGGAGGGGGTCCCAGATGGCCAGCCGGTGCGGATTCCGGGATTCTCTGGGGAGCCGGGCTGCGGCTATCTTTAGGGCTGTGCTCAGAGCCTGGCCGGCCCCGGAGCACCCTGGGGGCTCTGCTGGTCCCCTGCCCCTTAAGGGCCTGTGAGCACAGAATCCTGATGCCCCGGGTGACCCTCCCCTCTCCTGCAGCCCGGCCTGGGGTCTCTCCAGGCCCAGCCAACCCCACCCAGGGGGACGGTGGAGGCCGTTTGAGGTGCAGCCCAGGCCCGTCTCCCGCATCCTCTGGTGTCCTCCGGGCAGAGCCCCTGGAAGCCCCCTCCATCCCTGCGGTAGGCCGCGCCTCTCCTGGTTCCTCAGGGTGCCTGTGGTCCCACCTCCGCTCCGTGTGCCCTGCTCCAGCTGCAGTGGAGGCAAGGGCTCGCAGCGGCGCTCATCCCCGCACACCCAGGGTGCAGCTGCCCGGAACCAGGACATCAGCCTCTGCCCTCATGCTAACGGGCACCCACGGCCCTGGCATGTGGGAAGACCAGGCAGGTGCTGGCCCCGCCCGCCCACCCAGCCCTCCACCTCGTGGACCTGAGGTGGGGACGGCGGGGCGGCCCCAGCGCCAGGGCTGAGGACCTGCGACCTCTCTGCCTCTGAGGCCGGGAAGTGAGGGCACAGGAACTGTATATGGGAGATGCTCTGTGACCGGCCCCCAGGCCCACGTCCAGGGACCGGCAGGTGCACAGGAGAGCGGGGCTCCTGGGGGAGCTGTGGGAGGGCCGTGAGGCCGGGCCCTGCGGGCGGGGCAGAAGGGAGCATCAGAGTCACTGCTGATGACCAAGCTCACTCGGCAGTTGTCCGGTCCCGGGGGGGGGGGTGGGGGCCGGGCCTGTCCTTATAGGGAGTGGCAGGCAGCGGGAGAGCTGTCCTGAGGGAGCGGGCAGGAGCTTAAGACGGGCGGCCCGACAGGGAGGGCACAGACCATCCACCGCAGACCCGGCATGGTGAGTGTGCACGGGCGGACAGCCGGGCAGGGGTGCCTGAGAGCTCCATTGAGTGTGACGGGTGAGGGTGTGCACACACAGTGAGGGTGTGCACACACAGTGAGGGTGTGCACACGAGGTGAGGGTGTGCACACACAGTGAGGGTGTGCACACACAGTGAGGGTGTGCACAAGGTGAGGGTGTGCACACACAGTGAGGGTGTGCACAAGGTGAGGGTGTGCACACACAGTGAGGGTGTGCACAAGGTGAGGGTGTGCACACACAGTGAGGGTGTGCACACACAGTGAGGGTGTGCACACACAGTGAGGGTGTGCACACGAGGTGAGGGCGTGCACACACAGTGAGGGTGTGCACACACAGTGAGGGTGTGCACACACAGTGAGGGTGTGCACACGAGGTGAGGGCGTGCACACACAGGGTGTGCACACGAGGCGAGTGTGCACACAGGTATTGGCGGCCGGGCACGGGGGCATCTGTGCCCTGAGGCTGCCCGGTAACAGTCTGGGGCTGGAAGACGGGTCTTGGCTGTCACCGCAGCAGGGTACCCAGGACCCATCTGCCGCCGGCCCCCTGCGCAGTCTGCTGGCTCCTGGGACCCCCAGCCGGCTCCCAGTGGGACTGCTGACGGCACGGGGCCAACGTCAAGGTGCACCTTCTCAGGGCTCCATGCTCACCGGCACCTGGATCTGCCCAGCCTGTGGGCCCAGACCCTGGCCACTGCAGTCTGGCCCGCCCTTCCTCTGCATGACGCCCCCCAGGCCCGGCCCGAGCCTCACCCGTGTTCCCGTGTCCCCCCCAGGCCCTGCCCGAGCCTCACCCGTGTTCCCGTGTCCCCCCCAGGCCCTGCCCGAGCCTCACCCGTGTTCCCGTGTCCCCCCCAGGCCCGGCCCGAGCCTCACCCGTGTTCCCGTGTCCCCCCCAGGCCCGGCCCGAGCCTCACCCGTGTTCCCGTGTCCCCTCCAGGCCCTGCCCGAGCCTCACCCGTGTTCCCGTGTCCCCTCCAGGCCCGGCCCGAGCCTCACCCGTGTTCCCGTGTCCCCTCCAGGCCAACAGGAAGACTAAGAAGGAGGGCGGGGCCCTCCGGGCACAGGGTGCCTCTTCCAACGTCTTCTCCAATTTCGAGCAGACACAGATCCAGGAGTTCAAGGAGGTGAGGCCCCCCCTCCCCGGGGGCCACGGGGGCCGGGAGACCCGGGCAGGCAGCAGGGCGCCGGGCCTCATGTGTGTCCTCCCTCCAGGCCTTCACGCTGATGGATCAGAACTGGGACGGCTTCGACAAGGAGGACCTGAAGGACACCTACGCCTCCATGGGTGGGTGCCAAGCAGAGTCCCCCCAGCCCGCCCTCAGCCTCCCCTCTGCACTACTAGGGCTGGCAGGGGTGTCGCAGGGCACAGGGAGGCGGAGAGCGGCGGGGAGGGGGAAGCTGGGACTAGGTCCAGGGAGGGACACCACTGCCAAGATGGGGTGAGAGCTGGAGGCAGGTCCTGCTCCCCGTCCTCCCCATCGGGGGACACACTGTTCCCAGCCCGAGGCGTCCTGCCTGCAGCCCAGCGCGGGGGAGGGGGGGCAGGCCGCTTCCACCTGCAGGGATTGCCACCCGCCTTCCCCGGGGGCCCCTCAGGCCTTCCCGCTGCCCGGGGCCTCCTCCCCTCCTCAGCAGCCCACCTTCCTGGGCAGGAGTCCCCCCATTGGCTGGCCTCCCTCCCCGCTTTGTCCTGGGGTCACCGGGAGGACGGGCACCTGCCAGGAGGGACAGTGCACGCGTCAGCAAGGGCAGGGCTGCCCCTGACCCCGTGTGTGCACAGGCAGGACCAACGTGAAGGACGAGGAGCTGGATGCCATGCTGCAGGCGGCCGCGGGCCCATCAACCTCACCCCTTTCCCCAACATGTTCGGGGAGAAGCTGACCGGCGAGCCTCGGCCGTTCCTTCAGAAACCGACGCTGCACGGGAAGTCAGATCCGTGCCACAGCCAGGAGCCGGCATTCTGGGCCCCACATCTTCCCTATCCCCCACACCCCCACTGGGAGCTCCACCCTCAGCCCAGCCCTGCCTCCCGCTGGCCGCTGGTGGCCCGTCCCCTCGCCGAGTGCTGCCCGGCTCTGGGCCTTGGCAGGCAGTGAGGGCCCCCGTCCCCCAGGCTGCTGGGAGCGGGGCCGTCGGCCGAGGGCAGACGGGGGTGGGGGGGCTGGAGGGGTAGGGTGGGAGGGGACCAGGGCGGAGCGGACCGGAGCCTCTGTGGCCGGGACGGATGCCGAGGAGACCATCCTGAATGGCTTCGAAATGCTGGACCCCAGGGCAAAGGCAGCATCAACAAGGACTAGTGTGGCCTCTGGGTCTGAGGGGCACCGAGCCCACCCCACCCTCCCCGCCCGCTCCCCCGAGTCCTCCACGGCCACTGAGGGCACACCAATCCCGCCCACATGCCCCGCACTGGCTCTGGGGCTCCCTGGGCCATGCCTTGGGCACAGGCCAGTCTGGGTGCCTGGCCCTCCCCTCCCACGGCCCCGTCTGCCCCTATCACAGCCCCCCTCGCCGTCCAGCTGTCCGGTGCTGACACTTTCTTTTTAAAAATATATTTTTATTGGCTTCAGAGAGGGAGGGAAAGGGAGGGCGAGATAGAAACATCCGTGACAGGAGGGAATCACTGACGGGCTGCCTCCGGCGCGGGAATCGAGCCCACAGTCCCGGCACATGCCCTCGGCCGGGGTGGAACCGGGGCCCTTCGGCCCGTAGGCTGGCTCTCTGTCCGTGAGCCACACCGGCCAGGGCTGGCCCTCTCTCCAGAGCAGCCTAACCCGGAGCCTCCCTCCTTGTCCTCAGCATCAAGCAGCTGCTCATGTCCCAGGCCGACAAGATGACCATGGAGGAGGTCTGGCCGGGGGGCCCCAGGCTTGGCTGGGGGTGGGCCCTGGCCCTGAGAGGCTGGAGGGTTGGTGTGGGTGGGACACCCCGCGGCAGAGCCCCACCCCCCCTCACTCCCACGAGCACAGAAACCAGTCCAGAGCAGGTTGGGGGTGGGGACCCGTCACCCTCAGGCCGCACCCCTTAGGACCCACTTGCTCTGCCTCCTGCAGGGCTGACACCCACTGCCCTGCCCGCAGGTTGACTAGATGTTGCAGTTTGCAAAGATCAACGCTGCAGGCAACCTGGACTACAAGGCGCTGAGCTTCGTGCTCACCCATGAGGAGGAGGAGGAGGAGTGAGGGTGCCCTCACCCCACCCCACCCCCAGCGCTGTGGCCAGTTCAATAAACCTGAACCCACCAACCTGCCTGCCTGTGGGGAGGGGAGTGTCCACCTGGGGCTGGAGGGCCTGGGGGGCATCGGCCTGGGGGACCCTCCGTCCGCTCCCCCCCAGAGCAGCCTGGACCACCCATCCGCACCCTGGCCACCCCTGTCCCCATGAGGCTGGGTGTCTGGTCACGTGGTGACGGAGGCTGAGAGGGGTCTGGGATGGGCTCCTTCAAGGATGGCCCTCCCCACCCCCATGCGTTCCAGACACCGACACTGGGGGGCCCTCTGGACCCACAACCTGTGCACTCCCAGGAGCCAGGCCCGCTACACTGAGCCCACACTGCCTGCCGCAGTCCCTGTGCCCCTGCAGAACCCGCCCAGCGCATGGGTGGCTGCCCTGGCTGCCTCTCCCGGCCTCTCCCTCCCAGATGCCTCTCAGCCGGGCCCGTGCGGAAGGCTCTAGGGACGAGCCGCCCCTGCAGGGTACTTGCCGGGGTCCTGGGGGGGGGTCGGGGGGAGGGCCTGCTGGAAGGGGGGGCAGTCCTGGAGGGAGGGGCTGGAGCGGGCCTCGGCCTGCAGGCGTCGGTAGGGGGTGTGGAAGAGGAGGACCAGGCAGCAGCTCAGGAGGGTGCACAGGCCGGCCATCGTCAGCATGGACACTGCGGACACAGCAGCCGCCTGGGGCCTGGCCGTGGAGCCAGCAGGGCCCTGCGACCCCGCTGACCACGGCCGCAGCGCCCCGGGCCCGATCCCGACCCAGCTCGGGGCCCAGGTCCACACCGGACCTCTCCGTCTGTCCCGGCGTCTCTCCTCTCTCTGCCTCCCGCCCTCTCTCATCTCTTTTTTCTTTTCCTGGTCTCATTTCAATCCTCACCTGAGGCTATCTTCCCATGGATCTTTAGGGAGAGTGGAAGGGAGAGGGAAAGACAGAAACACCGATGACAGAAACGTCCTCTGACCCCATCCTGCCCCTGCCTAGGGGGCACCCAGCACCCACCCACCCACCAGGGACAGCAAAAGGGCCCGAGGAGGGAGGTCCCCGGAGGCCCAGGCCCTGCCCTTTTCACCTGCGTCCCGGGGGCACCCGTGGGCGGGGACGCTCACCCTTCCAGTCCAGGGGGTCCTGGCCGCTCTGGCAGGTGGAGAAGGACGGGTCCGCACGGCACACGGTCAGGGCGGTCAGCAGCACCATGATGAGCACCCCCTCGGCCTGCCTGGACAGCCACGAGGCCCTCAACCCCGCCGGCACGGCCCCGCCCCCTCGGGGCCAGGAGCCCCGCCCCGCCCGCCCGCCCCGCCCGCACACACACTCACCCCACCACGAAGACCAGGCCGGCGGCCGCGCCCTCCCCCACGGGGAAGGAGCACTCCACGGCCAGCTCCATGGCGACGGGCGCCACCGAGAAGCCGAAGAGCCCGAGCAGGGAGCAGACGGCGGCCAGCGCGACGGTCTGTCCCCGCAGCTGGGACACCTGGGCAGCAAGCGCGTGAGGCGCCGTCAGGCCCCCGCCGGCCCGGCTGGCCGAGTGGGGCCGGGCCCAGGGGGCTGTGCCCGCGGGCGGCCTGCGTGCCTGTGGTCGGGCTGCCGGCCGCCCGCCAGGAGCTCCCGTCCTCCCGGGGGTGGTCTCCGCTGCAGGGACACTCACCAGAGCGAAGGCCACACACACCAAGGAGGTCAGACAGAAGCCAATCTTGACGGCTTCCATGAAGCGCTTGGTCCGGTCCACGTACAGGCCGAGGGCCAGCGCCCCCAGGATCCCGAACACGATGAAGAGCGCCCCGCAGAGGCCTGCGAACTCCTGGAGGCGAGGCCAGGGGCCGGCATCAGGCACCCTCAGGACAGGGCCTCCCCGGGGTGCCCACGGCGTGCACGCCCCCCCACGGCCCTACCCCGACCCGCACAGCCCCCCTCCACGGCCCCACAGCCCCCCGCTCCACGGCCCCACAGCCCCCCCCCACGGCCCCACAGCCCCCCCCTCCACGGCCCCACAGCCCCCCGCTCCACGGCCCCACAGCCCCCCCCCTACGGCCCCACAGCCCCCCCCTCCACGTCCCCACAGCCCCCCCTCCACGGCCCCACAGCCCCCCCCTCCACGGCCCCACAGCACCCCCTCCACGGCCCCACAGCCCCCCCCCCGGCCCCACAGCCCCCCCTCCACGGCCCCACAGCCCCCTCCCCAGCCCCACAGCCTCCCCCTTCACGGCCCCACAGCCCCCTCCCCGGCCCCACAGCCCCCTCCCCGGCCCCACAGCCCCCTCCCCGGCCCCACAGCCCCAGCCCACCCCGCACAGCCCCCCCCACGGCCCCACAGCCCCCCCCCACAGCCCCACGGCCCCAGCCCACCCCACACAGCCCCCCCCACGGCCCCACAGCCCCAGCCCACCCCGCACAGCCCCCCCCACGGCCCCACAGTCCCCCCTCCACGGCCCCACAGCCTCCCCCTCCACGGCCCCATGGCCCCAGCCCACCCCGCACAGCCCCCCCCCACGGCCCCACGGCCCCAGCCCACCCGCACAGCCCTCCCTGCACAGCCCCAGCCCACCCCGCACAGCCCCGCCCTCCACGGCCCACAGCCCCCCCCTCCACGGCCCCACAGCCCCCCCCCCACGGCCCCCCGGCCCCAGCCCACCCCGCACAGCCCCCCCTTGCACAGCCCCAGCCCACCCCGCACAGCCCCCCCCACGGCCCCACAGCCCCCCCCTCCACGGCCCCACAGCCCCCCCCCCACGGCCCCACGGCCCCAGCCCACCCCGCACAGCCCCCCCCACGGCCCCACGGCCCCAGCCCACCCCGCACAGCCCCCCCTTGCACAGCCCCAGCCCACCCCGCACAGTCCCCCCCACGGCCCCACAGCCCCACCCTCCACGGCCCCACGGCCGAGACCGTGTCTGGCACCGACCCCTCACTCCCAGCACCTCCAAGCGCCCACAACAGGAGGTCCCTGCCCAGATGTGGACACCAGGGCCTGGGCGGCCACTCCACAGCCACACGCAGGAGCCGCAAAGGCAGCCCTGCCGGGCGGACACTCACGTTGGAGTAGCCGTTCACGCAGAGGATCTGCTCCAGGAGGGCCGAGAAGCTGGTGAAGATGCCGACGCCGCCCCCGAAGCACACGGCCAGGACCACGTAGGCCTTGTTCCTCACGAGCTGAGGGCAGGGTGGGGCGGCTCGGCGGGGGCCCAGCCGGGAGCCCCTCCCCACCGCCTCTCCCGCCTCCCCCGGCCCCACACCGCCCCCGGCCCCAGAGCCCGCAAACCAACCAGCTTCAGCCCGTCCAGGAACTTCTCCGAGTTGGAGTGGGCAGCCCCCGCGGAGGGCGGGGTGGGGGGCTCGCTCTCCCCGAGGCAGGCGGTGGCCAGCAGGCAGGCGAGGCCGGCGGGGATGATGTAGACGCCCAGCTGGGGAGGGTGTGCACATGGCACATGCGTGTGCAGGTACCCGCAGGCCCCGCAGACACACGCGCTGCACAGGCCCAGCTCGGGCTCCACGCCACCTCCGCCAGCTCCCCGGGTGGCGTGAGCAGGGTGAGCCCGGGCTGGCAGGCCTGCGTCCGGCTGCCCCGCCCCAGCTTTGGCAGAGCTGCTCTGAGTGCTCTGCCCCGAGTGGCTGCCAGGTGGGGCAGGTGCACACTCTCACAGACGTGTGGACACACGTGTGCACACGAGAGCCAAACACTCTGCTCACACACACCACACACAAACACACACCACACATACACTGTGCATGTGTGCACCACACAAACACACATGTGTGCACAGACCACACAATGTGTGTGCGCACCATATAAATGTGCAGGCACCACACAAACATATACACACCACACAGATAGCGGGCATGTGCGTGCACACCGCAAACACATGCCACATATACACACGTGTGTACACCACACAAACACGCACGTGCATGCATAGCACGCACACGTATGTGGGTGCACCCCGGGAGCCCCCTCACCATTACAGGGATGTCGTCCTCCTTCTTCACCAGAGCAGGAGACAGCACGTTGGCCAGCAGGATGCCCAGGGGGTTTGCTGGACGGACGGGCGGACGGACAGAGACCCCCCCGTCAGGCCTGGGTCCCCAGCTCACGGGCGCCCTCTGCCTCCAAGCCCGGGGAGCGCAGAGGGGCCGGACGGCTCGCTGAGCCTCAGCCCTTCACTCACCCATGGTGCCGACCATGTTGGCCGTGGCCCGCTGGTGCTCAGGGAACCACAAGGCGGCCAGCTTGGCCGGAGAGAAGATGACCAGGGTTTGGGCCAGGGCACAGAGGCTCTGGCCGCCCATGAGGAAGGCAAACGGGGCCGGGGTCCCCTTGAGCATGGAGGGCAGGCTGCGGAGCACGCTCCCGGCGAAGTTCAGCCACGCGCACAGGATGGTCTGCAGGGAGCGGTCAGGAGCTCTGCCCGGGCACTCTGGCCGGGCAGGGGCCATGGCCGCCCGCCCTCCCACAGCCGCCCTGAGACGGGTCTAACTCACCGCCCAGCGGAGCCCCACGGAGTCCAGCATCCAGATGGCCGCCAGGCCCGCCGGGATGGCCACCACCAGGTAGACCAGGGAGAGCCAGTTGACCTGCTCGGTGGACAGCAGGAAGTGCCGGGCGACGGTGTCTGCCACGGGTGCGAAGCTGAGCCACAGCTGCGGACACAGGCCGGCGTCAGCCCGGGGGCCACAGGCACCACGGCCCCGCCTCCTGGAGCAGCCGGCCGGCCCGAGCAAGTGTCCAGCGTCCCATGATGCCCAGGGTCTCCCTGCAGGCACGTCCTGCTGGCAGAAGGGGCAGTCGCAGGACGAGGGCCCCGCGGGACTGACCCTGCCAGGAGAGGCCGAGAGCTGCCGGGGGAGGCGAGGTGTGTGGCAGGCGGGCGCCGGGCATGGCGGGACCACGGAAGCTGGGAGAGGCCTTGGGATGGCGGAGCCAGCGGCCCTGACGCCGGGGCACAGACAGGCCGGGAAAGGGAGCACGTCTGGGGCAACCCTTGGTGTCCGGGGGGATGGGGAAGGAGGCAGGGGGAAGAGCTGTGGCTGGCCCAGGGGAAGGCGGGGGTGGGTACTGGCTGGGACAGAAGACAGCCCGGAAAGCACTCCACCTGAATGTGTCCGGGGAACACCTGGATGTGGGGGCCTACCCAAGGCCAGCCCCCCTCTTCCCCGCAGGAGATGGGGTGTCTGGGAGGGAGAGGCTCCAAGCAGGCTGGGACTCCACTCAGCGGACCTCCAGCAAACAATGAGTGTGGCCGGAGGAGGTGGGGGTGGGACTGGTCTGACTGGGACACGGTTGGGGGAGGGCTTCCTGGAAGAGGTGACAGCCACCTGGCCCCTGAGGGGGCAGGGTCCTGCAGGAGGGAGGAGGGAGGGGGGCCGATGGATCCAGGGGAGGGGTCACAACCCCAAGCTCCCAGTCCTCCATCAGAGAGAACCCAACCCAACTTCCTGACAGATTTCTGACCGCAGATCCTCACATGCCTGAGGTTCTGCAACAGCCACCTTCTCTTCCTCTTTTTAAGAATATTTTTACTGATTCCAGAGAGGCAGGAAGAGAGAGAAAGATAGAAACATCAGTGAAGAGAGAATCATTGATTGGCTGCCTCCTGCACACCCCACACTGGGGATCAAGCCTGCAGCCCCCTGTATGTGCCCTGACCATGACCTCCTGGTTCAGAGGTCGACACTCAACCACTGAGCCTCGCCAGCCAGGCCTTTTCTTCCTCGTTTAAAGGACAGAGCAGCCGAAACCGGTTTGGCTCAGTGGTAGAGCGTCGGTCTGCGGACTGAAGGGTCCCAGGTTCGATTCCGGTCAAGGGCATGTACGTTGGTTGCGGGCACATCCCTAGTAAGGGGTGTGCAAGAGGCACCTGGTCAATGTTTCTCTCTCATCGACGTTTCTATCTCTCTATCTCTCTCCCTTCCTCTCTGTAAAAAAAAAAAAAAAAAAAAAATCAATAAAATATATTTAAAGGACAGAGCAGGGGACAGACCACCCGGCATCTCTCCAGACCGTCTGGCCAAGCAGAGCCCCCTCCCCCCCTCCCGCCCCCACCCTCTCCTCTCTCCTCCCAGAGCTGGTGGCCGGCAGAACAGAGCAGTCGGTGGGTTGGTCACCAGCGGAGATACAGGATGACAGGGAGGGAGGCCCCAGGCTGCCCGACCAACCGGTCCTGCAGGTGTGTGGGAGGCTGAGCAGTGGCACCCCAGGTGAGATGCCCCAGGGGAGATGCGGGCCGGGGGCAGCCCTGTGGGTCAGGTGTGGGCTCAGGACAGGCACCCTCGGCGGGAGGGGAAGGCAGGTTATCAGCTTTATGTATAATAGTTATCAGCTGGAGAGCAGTGGAACCCCGTCCCAGACAATTACCATCCTGCAGTGACCCCCCTCGCCCCAAATCCCAGGTGCCTGGCCTCCTCGGCTGGAAAGCCCTCTGGACCTCGCTGATCTGTGCTCTCTGACCCTCCTGCGTGTGGGTGTTCCCACAGGCACACTCGGGTTCAAGGCGCTTGTTCATGTTGGTGACCCGTCTCCCCATTGGGTTACTGGGCCACCCGGAGAGCCCAGGGCCCGTTCTTCCCCAGGCCCCCACCCTCTGCCCGAGTTCAGGGACATGGGGGCGGGGCCAACCGGGCAGAGCTGCCTGCCTGAGGCGGGCTGGGGAGGGGGCACAGGCCTCTGGGGGGCTCCGGGGTGAGTCTGCCGCCCAGAGGCTGGGGGCTGGCCCCCAGGAGCCGGCTGAGCCCTGGTCTAGAGCAGTGATGAGGCCCCGGGCCCCCAGCCGGGCTGAGGAGGTCAGGCCGGGCAGGAAGGGGGCCCCTGAGGGCCCAAGAACTGAACCAGAAGCCAGGAGGCGACTGGGCACCAGCGGCAGAGGAAGGGGTGGGGAGGAGGGGGTCGTGGAAGGCCCGCCCCCGTGTGGGGATATTGGGGGGAGATGCCTGTATCGGTCCGGGCTCTGGCCGCCTCGGGGAACCTCACAGACACCACAGAGCACAGAACCCCACACCGCATGCCCAGCAGAAGGGGCTCCGGTGCTGGGTCCCCGCCCCCGGCGCCCCCCAAACTCCCCTCTGCCCACCCCCGTGCCCCCAAACTCCCCCCTCTCCCCGGCGCCCCCAAGCCCCCCTCTACCGTACCCGCCCCCAAGCCCCACTCTCCCGTACCCGCCCCCAAACCCCCCTCTCCTGTACCCGCCCCCAAACCCCCCTCTCCCGTACCGCCCCCAAACCCCCCCCTCCCGTACCCGCCCCCAAACCCCCCTCTCCTGTACCGCCCCCAAACCCCCCTCTCCTGTACCCGCCCCCAAACCCTCCTCCCGTACCGCCCCCAAACCCCCCCCTCCCGTACCCGCCCCCAAACCCCCCCTCCCGTACCCGCCCCAAACCCCCCCTCCCGTACCCGCCCCCAAACCCCCCTCTCCTGTACCGCCCCAAACCCCCCTCCGTACCGCCCCCAAACCCCCCTCCCGTACCGCCCCCAAACCCCCCTCCCGTACCGCCCCCAAACCCCCTCCCGTACCCGCCCCAACCCCCCCCCTCCCGTACCCGCCCCCAAACCCCCCTCCCGTACCCGCCCCCAAACCCCCCTCCCGTACCCGCCCCCAACCCCCCCCTCCCGTACCCGCCCCAAACCCCCCTCCCGTACCCGCCCCCAAACCCCCCCTCCCGTACCCGCCCCCAAACCCCCCTCCCGTACCCGCCCCCACCCCCCCCCCTCCCGTACCCGCCCCCAAACCCCCCTCCCGTACCCGCCCCAAACCCCCTCCCGTACCCGCCCCCAAACCCCCCTCTCCCGTACCCGCCCCCAAACCCCCCTCTCCGTACCCGCCCCCAAACCCCCCTCCCGTACCCGCCCCAAACCCCCCCCTCCCGTACCCGCCCCCAAACCCCCCCCTCCCGTACCCGCCCCCAAACCCCCCTCCCGTACCCGCCCCCAAACCCCCCTCCCGTACCCGCCCCCAAACCCCCCTCCCGTACCCGCCCCCAAACCCCCCTCCCGTACCCGCCCCCAAACCCCCCTCCCGTACCCGCCCCCAAACCCCCCTCTCCCGTACCCGCCCCCAAACCCCCCTCCCGTACCGCCCCCGCCGGCCGTACCGTGGCGTTGGAGCCGCTGAGCAGGCTGAGCACCAGCAGGAACACCCAGCGGCGCGCGTAGGCGCGGTAGCCCCGCAGCCCGCCGGGCACCGGCGGCGTGGGGGGCCCCGGGGCGTCCCCCTCCGGCCCCATCGCGGGCCCCGCGGTCGCGGGCAGTCCCGGGGACAGGGCCGGGGGCCGGGGACAGGGCCGGGGGGCCGGGGACAGGGCCGGGGGGCCGGGGGCAGGGGCCGGGGGGCCGGGGGCAGGGCCGGGGCGGGAGGGTCCGGCTCCGGGACCGGTCCGCCCTCGGGGCAGCGCCGCTCTGTGCCCGCGGCGGGCACGCCCCGGGCGGGTGCGGAGAGGGCGCCGGGCCCGCTTCCTGGAAGGCCGTGGGGAGGTCCTCGGGTCACCCCTCCACCCGGAACCCCAACCGGCCCGCCGGCACCGAGCGGGGAGCCCGACTGCCCTGCCCGGCCAGGGGGAGGCGAACCCGGACGGGGAGGCGGGACCGGCCCGGGGCGGGGAGGCGGGACCGGCCCGGGGCGGGGAGGCGGGACCGGCCGGGGGAGGCGGGGCCGGGCGGGGAGGCGGGGCCGGGCGGGGGAGGCGGGACCGGCCGGGGAGGCGGGGCCGGGCGGGGGAGGCGGGACCAGGGCGGCCCGGGGCGGGGAGGCGGGAACGGCCGGGGGAGGCGGGACCGGCCCGGGGCGGGGAGGCGGGACCGGCCGGGGGAGGCGGGACCGGCCCGGGGCGGGGAGGCGGGACCGGCCGGGGGAGGCGGGGCCGGGCGGGGGAGGCGGGACCGGCCCGGGGCGGGCGGCGGGCAACCAGGAAGGGAGGGCGGGCCGGGCCGGCCGGAGGGCAGGGAGCGGGCAGCTCAGCTGGGAAAACACGCGCAGGGGGACGGTTTCTGTGTGCGAGAGGCCCGTGGGCTGGGTCAGAGGAGCGGGTCCCCACCCCCTGGGGCTCACCCCCTGGGCCCTCCCCCCTGGGCCCTCCCCCCTGGGCCCTCCCCCCTGGGGCTCACCCCCTGGGCCCTCCCCCCTGGGCCCTCCTCCCTGGGCCCTCCCCCCTGGGCCCTCCCCCCTGGGGCTCACCCCCTGGGCCCTCCCCCCTGGGCCCTCCCCCCTGGGGCTCACCCCCTGGGCCCTCCCCCTGCGGCTCACCCCCCTGCGGCTCACCCCCTGGGCCCTCCCCCCTGGGGCTCCCCCCCTGGGCCCTCCCCCCTGGGCCCTCCCCCCTGGGGCTCACCCCCTGGGCCCTCCCCCCTGGGCCCTCCTCCCTGGGCCCTCCCCCCTGGGGCTCCCCCCCTGGGCCCTCCCCCCTGGGCCCTCCCCCCTGGGGCTCACCCCCTGGGCCCTCCCCCCTGGGGCTCACCCCCTGGGCCCTCCCCCTGCGGCTCACCCCCCTGCGGCTCACCCCCTGGGCCCTCCCCCCTGGGGCTCCCCCCCTGGGCCCTCCCCCCTGGGCCCTCCCCCCTGGGCCCTCCCCCCTGGGGCTCACCCCCTGGGCCCTCCCCCCTGCGGCTCACCCCCTGGGCCCTCCCCCTGCGGCTCACCCCCCTGCGGCTCACCCCCTGGGCCCTCCCCCCTGGGGCTCACCCCCTGGGCCCTCCCCCCTGGGCCCTCCCCCCTGGGCCCGCCCCCCTGGGGCTCACCCCCTGGGCCCTCCCCCTGCGGCTCACCCCCTGGGGCTCAGGCTCAGATTCCCCCTCCTCCCAGGCCTAGGCCCTTGTGTGGGGCTCAGCAGGGCCCAGGATAGAGGCGAGAGCCAACAGGTGGCCGGGCGTGAAAGCCAAAGTCAGACCCATGCCACGCACAGCGAATTACTCCATAGGAAATGGTCCCTGTGTGTGAGGTTAGCAAATGCACGCAGGACTTGAACCCTAAAAATTACACAACAAAAGCCTGAAGGATGGAGGCGTACATGCTCATGGATAGAGCGTCAATACCAATGCCAGTCCTCCCAGGCTGACCTGGAGGTCCAACTCAAATCCCAAGAGGGGTGTTTGCAGGCACAGACGGGGAGCAGACAGGCAAACCACACCTCCAGCAAAGCACTGCCGCCCCTGGAGACTCCTCCCGAAAGCCCTGGCTGGCATGGCTCTGTGCACGGAATCAGCCTGCAGATGAAGGGCAGAGGGTTCGATTCCGGTAAGGGCACATGCCCAGATTGCGGGCTTGACCCCCATTAGGGGGTGTGCAGCAGGCAGCACATCTCTAATGCTCTTTCTTTATGGATGTTTCTATTGCTCTCTCCCTCTCCCTTCCTCTCTGAAATCAATACTAAAAAAAAAAAAAAAAAGAAAAGAAAAGAAAAAGAAAAAAAGAAAGAAAATCTATTTGAGCCTAGCTGGTTTGGCTCAGTAGAGTGTTGGCCTGCGGACTGAGGGGTGCCAGGTTCGATTCTGGCCAAGAGCACATGCCTGGGTTATGGGCTCAGTCCCCAGTGGGGGATGTGCTAGAGGCAACCAATTAATGATTCTCTCTCATCATTGATGTTTTGCTCGCTCTCTCCCTCTCTCTCCCTTCCTCTCTGAAATCAATAAAGAAATATATTTTTAAAAATTAAAAAAATCTATTTGAAAAAAACAACAGCTCAACAGTAAAAGCAATAACAACAAACAAGTCCAGTGAGACAACGGGCAGAAGACTGAAGAATGAAGAGATGAGTCACTGAAGAGGGCGAGCACCAGTGAGGCGTGGCTGACATCCTGAGCCTTCAGGAAAATGCAAATTAATTCCACACACCCTTCAGAATGGCTCAGCTAAAAACAGTGACATTGAGTGGCAAGGTCATGGGTGACTGGGTCACTCACGCATTGCTGATAAGGATTGTAAAATGTGCCCAGCCCGACTGGTATGCTCGGTAGCTGAGCATTGATCTAGGAACCAGGAGGTCACGGTTCGATTCTGGTCAGGGCACACGCCCCAGTTGTGGGCTCCATCCCCTGTGTGGGCATGCAGGAGGGGGATTCCCTCCCAACGTGGGTGTTTCTGTATCTCCCTTTCCCTTCTTCTCTGAAATCAATGAAAATAGATTTTTAAAAATATTTTTTATTGATTGTTTTACAGAGAGGAAGGGAGAGGAATAGAGAGTTAGAAAACATTGATGAGAGAGAATCATCGATCAGCTGCCTCCTGCACTGGTCACCTTATTTTAAAATCTATTTTCAGCCCTAACGGGTTTGGCTCAGTGGATATAGTGTCGGCCTGAGGACTGAAGGGTCCCAGGTTTGATTCCAGTCAAGGGCATGTACCTTGGTTGTGGGCACATCCCCATTAGGGGGTGTGCAAGAGGCAGCTGATCAATGATTCTCTCTCACTGATGTTTCTAAGTCTCTATCCCTCTCTTTTCCTCTCTGTAAAAAACCAATAAAAAATATATTGTAAAACCTTACAGCCACAGCACCAAATACAGCTTGTCAAACTCACACATGGTGGACAGGACATTCACTGGGAGGCAACAGCCTTGTCTGCCTTCAGGGAAGCCGGTTTATTTAAGTTCTGGGCCAGTGTCTTCACCATAACCACGTACGAGGTTCACATTCCGAATCCTGGCCGCACGCCATTCACAGAAGCCACACAGAGCCCTGGTCCCCGGCACACCTTCAGGGCCAGCACATCGTGACGTTGTTTTCACTTGAAAAACACCTACATTGTGCTTTTCCGTTTATAGGTAATGGCTTGTTTCAAATACATCCAGCACGCACATTATGACTGAGTCAGTTTCCATTTCTTCTCCTTTTTACTTAATCCAGTGGTCGGCAGACTCATTAGTCAGCAGAGACAAATATCAACGATTGAAATTTCTTTTTTGATTTTTTACAGAGAAGAAGAGAGAGGACAGAGAGCCAGAAACATTGATGAGAGAGAAACATCGATCAGCTGCCTCTTGCACACCTGCCACTGGGAATGTGCCTGCAATCAAGGTTCATTCCCTTGACCGGAATCGAACCGGGGACCTTTCAGTCCGCAGGCCGACACTCTACCTACTGAGCCAAACTGGCCTCAGCCCAAAATTCCTTTTAATTTTCGTGAGTTTATTTGAGCAGAACCTCAACCTCACGAATTGAGATAATGCTCCTGAGAAAATGGCGGGTTACATCTGTATTTACACATTGCCATCAAAGGAGGGACATAGGTGGGTTACATGAGAGCCACATTTTTTAAACTTCAACTTCTTCTAATGCCACTTCTTCAAAAGAGACTTGCCCAGGCCGTGGTATTTTGTGGAAGAGCCACACTTGAGGGGCCAAAGAGCCGCATGTGGCTCGAGAGCCGAGGTTTGCCGACCACAGACTTAACCAAAGGTAGGCTCCTCTCGGCACCAAAACAGGCACCAGGCGAGGCTTTCTCAGGCGAACGTGTCTTCTTCCCTAAACAGCATGTGCTTGAAAGTAAGCGACTGAGAGCCTCACGCTGCCAAGCCTGGTGCCAAGGCCGGCCCTCCTCTGCTGAGGGTGACGTGGTCCGCCCCGGCCTGTGTGCTGCTGATGGGCAGCTCTTGTCAGGGAATGTCAGCTCTGTGGGCGCAGGCCCAGATGGCCACGCCTGACCCTGGAGTGCTGTGGCTGTGGCCGAGAATAGCCGTGCAGGGGCGGGTGACCTTTCTGCTCGCACCCCTCCCTGCCCTCTTCGCCCACCGGCCTGCCTGGCAGGTTCTTCACAGGTGACCTCCCCACGCCCCCACCCACATCCCTTGCCTAACCTCCCAGAACTGATTCCAGAGGCACCCCGCCCTCCAGGAGGGCAGGCCTTCACGCGTGCCTGCTCGAGCCACCTGCCTCCGGGCGGCTGCCAGAAGCCCACACGCACACCACTCCCGTGGTGAGGAGCTGAGTGGGCAGGGCGGAATCTGGATTCTCGGGCTCCTCGAAGCAGACAGGTGACCCGCTCCTTCTCTGGAGAGCAGGCCTCTGGTTTTCTATAAATAGAATCATAATATGTGGTCTTTTGTGCCTGGTTTCCCCCCCTGAGTATGTGTTCAAGGTCCATCCACGTGGTAGAATGTATTAGTACTTCCTTTTTCCAAATAAGATTTCATTATATGGACATACCACATTTTATTTATCTATTCATCACTTGATTGGCATTTGCGTTGTTTCCAGCTTGAGGACTAGATTTTGCTACCATGAGCACTGTGTCTTGGTTTGAGGGTGGACATGTTTTCTTTTAAAAAAAATTTTTTTTTTTATTGTTTTCAGACAGGGAGAGATAGATAGAAACATTGATGAGAGAGGATCATTGAACAGCTGCCTCCTGCACACTCCCTTCTGGGCATTGAGCCCACAACCTGGGCATGCGCCCTTGACCAGAATTGAATCCAGACCAGTCAGTCTGCAGGTTGACACTCTATCCCCTGAGCCACACCAGCCAAAGCTGGACGTATGTTTTCATTTCTTTGGCTCTACACCTAGGAGTGGAACTGCAGGGTTGTGTGCTAACTCTCTGAGGAACTGTTTTCCACAGACACACCGGTTCCATCTCCCGGCCGTGCCCGGGGTGCCAGCCTCTTGCATCCCTAGCGACACTTGTCTGCCTGTCTTTTTGGTGGCTGTCACCTGGTAATTCTCTGTGGTTCTAATTTGTGGTTCCCTGAGGACTATGTTGAGCATGTTTTCAGATGCTTGGTGGTCATTTGTGTATTTTCTGTAGAGAAATATCTATTCAGATGATTTGTTCATTTCTAAATTGTCTGTCTTTTTATAGTTGAGTAACAGCTTATACATTATTTATTTTCTTACTTATGCTTTATGTATTCTAGGTACTAACGTCTTATCAGATATATGATCTGCAAAATTTTCCTCCCACTCTTTGAGTTGTCATTTCACTTTATTTTTTAAAAACATATATTTATTGATTTCAGAGCAAAAGGGAGGAGATATAGAAACATCAATGATGACAGAATCGTCGATCGGCTGCCTCCTGCACATTCCCTAATGGAGATTGAGCCCACAACTCGGGCATGTTTCCTGGACTGGGAATTGAACCGTGACCTCCTGGTTCATAGGTCAATGCTCAACCATCGAGCCACACCAGCCTGGCTCTTTTAGCTTTCTTTCTTTTTTAAAATATATTTTATTGGTTTTTTTACACAGAGGAAGAGAGGGATAGAGAGTTAGAAACATCAACAGAATCATCGATCAGCTGCCTCTTGCACCCCCCTCACTGGCGATGTGCCTGCAACCAAGGTACATGCCCATGACTGGAATGGAATCAAACCTGGGACTTTTCAGTTCACAGCCCGACGCTCTATCCACTGAGCCAAACCGGTTTCGGCTCTTTTAGCTTTCTTGATGGTGTCCTTTGAAATAGAAATTTTTTGTTTTGATGATATTCTTTCTTAAAATGTATTTTTATTGATTTCATAGAGGAAGAGAGAGGGAGAAAGAGATAGAAACATCAATAAGAGAATCATTGATCGACTGCCTCCTGCATGCCCCCGACTGGGGACTATGTGCCCTGGCCAGGAATCGAACCGTGACCTCCTGGTTATACTAGTAGGTTGATGCTCAACCACTGAGCCACACCTGCTGGACTATTTTGATGATAATCTTCTATCCAATTTTTCTTTTGTTGCTTGTACTGTACCTTTAATGTCATATCTTAGAAACCATCGCCTAATCCAAGGTCAAATAGATTTATGCTTATGTTTTCTTTCAAGAGTTTAATAGCTTGCACATTTCCATTTAGGCCTTTGTGATTTACTGGAGTTAATTTTGCATATGGGATATCCTAAGCGTCCAATTTATTCTTTCACATGGGAATATTCATTTTCTCCCAGCAGCTCTTGTTGAAGAGACTTCTTTCTCCAGGGAATTGTCTCAGCCCTTCTTGAAAACCAATTGATCTAAATGTCAGGATTTATATCTGGGCTCTCAGTTCGAATCCCTTTACCCACGTGTCTCTTCTGAGGCCAGCACCACACTGTACTGATTACGGTAGCTTCGTGGCAATTTCTTAAGTCAGAAATGGGAGTCCTGCAACTTTGTTCTTCTTTATCAAGATTGTCGTGGCTATTCTGGGTCCCTTGAATTTGCACAGGAATTTAGACTCAGTGTGGCAATTTCTGCCGAGAAACCAACTGGTTTTGCAAATCATATATCTGATAAGGCATTAGTACCCAGAATACATAAAGCATATGTAAGAAAATAAATAATGTATAAACTGTTGCTCAACAATAAAAAGACAGACAATTTAGAAATGAACCAATCATCTGAATAGCAGCTGCGGGCCCCAGCGCCCACCCGGCGGCTTCTGCCAATCCGCCCCGCAAGGCCCCGCCTCCACGTGGCCCGGCCCCTGTCAAACCCCGCCCCCGCGAGGCTCTATCTCCACAGGCCCCGCCCAGGCCCCGCCCCTTATAGGCCCCGCCTCCGCCGCAGCATTCCAAAGTCCAGTCTCTGCTAGAGCTCCGCCCCGTCCCGCCTCCACGAAGCCCCACCCACGTCCAGGCCACGCCCCTCCCCGACCCCGCCTCCGGCCTCACCTCCCCGACCCCTCGCGGGTCACACGTGCCCAGGGAGTCCTCCGCGAAGCCCCGCCCCATCTCCCTCCGGACACGCCCCCTACGACCCCGCCCCCTCTTCCCGCGTCCGCGCCCGCGACCGGCCCCCAGCACCCTCCCCTCCCCGGCGCATCCGAGCCGCGGCGGAGCGCCTGCGCCGCTTGGCCCCGCCCCGCCCCGCCCCCGCTGGACCCCGCCCCCTCTCGGCTGCCGGGTGGGAGCGGGGCCGCGCAACGCGCATGCTCCCAGCGCGGCGCCCCTGACTCGGCGCTCGGCTCCGCTCGGGCATTTCCGCCTCTTTGTTTTAAACTCCGGACGGCTTTTTTCTCCGGCTCTTGGGGGGGACCCGGAGGGAGCGGCGCCCCCACCCCGCCCGGCGCTGCCCCCGCGTGCGCCCCGCTCGTCCGCAGCCGAGACGGCAGGTCAGTGAGCCCGCGCCCCGCCCGGCCTGGCCCGCGGCGCCCGGCGCTCAGGCCGCGGCCTCGGCCGTGCCCGGGCCCGGGCGGCTCCGCACCCCGGCCCGGCCCGCAGGCCCGGGAGGCCGAACCCGGGACACACCGCCCGGCAGGGCCGACCGCGGGGCCAGCGAACGCTGGACTCGGGACGGGCGCTGAGAGCGTCCCCGCGGGATGGGCATCGAGGAGGGTCCGCGACCAGCATGGGTCACGGGGAGTGCGGGGACCCGGGGCCGGGCAGACCCCCGGCTGGGACCCGGCCGGGCCGACCCCCGGCTGGGCAGACCCCCGGCAGACCCCCGGGGCTGGGCAGACCCCCGGGGCCGGGCAGACCCCCGGGGCTGGGCAGACCCCCGGCAGACCCCCGGGGCTGGGCAGACCCCGGCCGGGCAGACCCCCGGCTGGGCAGACCCCCGGCAGCCCCCCGGGGCTGGGCAGACCCCGGCCGGGCAGACCCTCGGCTGGGCAGACCCCCGGCCGGGCAGACACCCCCCCCCCCCCCCCCCCCCCCCCGGGCCGGGCGGGACCAGGGCTGGGTGGGGGACCCTGGAGGGGGGTTGCCTGAGAGGTCTGCACCTGGGACAGGCCATGGAAAGGCCAGGACTTGGGGATACATACACCCCCTCGGAGGATTGGGACCCCAGACCCAGAAAGGCCTGCTCCTGGGTCTGAGGCAGCCTGTCCCAGCAGGCAGGGCTTGAGCCATGTGACAGGCTCTGGGGGTGAACAGGGCCTCACAGAGGCCCCTTAGGAGGTGGGGGTGCTGGGGTAGGACCATGAAGGCCAGGCTCTCAGGAGGGCCAGGAACCTGATAACAGCTGGGCTTGGAGACAGGTCTCAGCCAGGCCTGGACTCCGGACAAGTGGTGGGAAGTGCTCAGGCCTCACCAGTGGACGGAACAGAGCGCGGGACCCAAGCCAGGCCCCCAGGAGTTGGGGCTGTGAGACAAGACCCAGGGGTGCCTCAAAACTCCCCAGCCCACTCATCTGGACCTTGTGCTGTGGAGGCTCTGGAACATCAGGGACCCTGATCAGCTGGCCCCACAGGTGCACACCCTCTGCGAGGCCCCTGAGCACCAGGGCCGGCCTGCAGATCTCTGACCTTCAGCAGGTGCCGCCCGGCTGGGCCTCGGAGGCAGATGTGAGGCAGGGTGGGGGCCCATCCCCCTGGCACTAGGGGTTCACCAGGGGCTCCTGGTCCACCCTGGTTCCCGGGCCATCCCTGTGCCCACTCTCAGACCAGAAAGCTGCCCCTGTCCTCCCAGCCCCTGCTCCAGGGCTCCTGGGCCGGCCTCGGCCTGGGGTTAGTGTGTGGCTGCCCTCCCCTCCCTGTGGTGGTGCCACCAACTCACTCCATTCTCCAGGTCCTGGGGTTGCACCCCCCATCCTGAGTCTGGAGGTGTTTTGTGTGTCTAGGAGGTGGGGGGGGAGGGCGGTCCGAGCCAGGAGTTTGGGCTTCCAACGCGCGCGTGTGTGTGTGTGTGTGTGTGTGTGTGTGTGTGTGTGGTGTCAGTGGGAGGAAGGTTGGAGCAGGCCAGGGGCATGTCAGGTGACGGCACCGTCTCTACCTCAGGAAGGGGACGTGTCAGGAATTGGGGTGAGCCTTTGCTCCCCTGAAGCTCGTAACGCGGGGTGTCCTCTAGCACCTGCCTCTGTGCTCCTTGAAGTTGGAAGTGGAGATGAAAAAGTAGGGTGCTTGTATGCTGCTCGGAAGGGCTCCAGGGTGTACCCCGTAGGATGGGGGGGTGTTGAGAGAAGGGAAGGCCCCAGGCAGGAGCCTCACTCCGCCGCCTGGCGAGAGGTCGGCGGGCAGCCCTGGGACTGGCCTGCTGGCGGGAACAGGTGGAGAAAGCCTTGGGCCTGCACCTTAGCCAGCCCGGGCGCAGGAGAGACGGGGATCTGGCTGGCCGTGGGCCGCGGGGTTATCGGGGAAAGCACGGTGGGTGCTCACGTCGGTGTTTCCCGGGACCAGTCTTCGCCGGCCCCTACTGGTGCAGGTCACGGAGTGTCTGCCGGATGAACCTCCTGCGGCTTCCGGTTCCTTTTAGACATGCCCTCACCTCATGGCTCTGCGGCCTTTGGAGGAGGCTGGCAGTGTTTTGTTGGGTTAGGCGCTATTTGCCAACTTTTGTTTTTTTAACTTAAATTCTTTAGTGTTTAAAATATTACATATGTTCCCCCCACACACGCACTTTTGGATTTTTAAGGGTGTGGTGGTCATGCCGGGGGTTGTATTCTGTATTTATTGCCGTCCAACAAATTATCCCAAACACAGGGCCTTACGAGAGCAGAGTTCTCTCAGTGTCTGTGGCCAGGGGTCCGGAGCCGCTCGGCTGGGTCCCCAGCTGCCTCAGCCTGCAGCCGGGGTGCTGGTGGCAGCTCCACAGTGGGCGAGGTCTGCTGCCAGGCTCACCCCCGAGAGGCAGCTCCCTCCACGGGTTCCCTCCACGGGGGCTCCCCGCCCGGCAGCTCAGGAGCCAGCCACAGAGCGAGAGGGAGCTAGAAGGAGGCCAGTCTCATGACCTCATCTTGGCAGGGACACACATCCCTTTTGCCATATTCTGTCTGCTAAAGGCCCAGGGCCCAGCCCACACTCGAGGGGAGGAGCTGCCCAGGGTGTGGGGACTAGAAGGGGCTGGGGTCATGGGGGGACGAGGAGGGGCTGGGGTCATGGGGGACTAGAAGGGGTGGGGGTCATGGGGAGGGTCTAGGATGGGGTTAAGGGCACTGGGGGACCAGGAGGGATTGGGATCACTGGGGGAAAATAAGAGGGGAGGAAATGAGATCCCTGGGAAACTAGGAGGGGTGGTCACGGGGAGGGACTGGGGGGGTAACGGGGAGGGACTGGGGGGTCATGGGGAGGGACTAGGGGGTGTCAGGAGGTGGATCCTGCACTTGCCAGGTGTCAGCTCACAGGGCCTGCCCCTGAGAAGTGCCGCAGGTGGAGGGCAGCTGCCTGTGGGGGCGTCGTGGACGGCGGCTGAGGACACAGAGCTGGGGGGAGGGCCGTGGGGGCACTGAGCTGGGGGGACGGCGGCTGAGGACACGAGCTGCCGTGTGAGGGGGAGCTGCAGGTGGGAGCACTTCAGGGACTCACCTCCCCGGAGCAGAGAAGTCCCCGCAGATAAACCCTAGGGTCTCGCGGTCGGACTCATCCACAGCCTGATGCTTGGCGGAGGGCTCCCACTGGCTCCCAAAGACCCGCCCCAGCCCCGAGCTGCGGGTGCTCTGCCGGGGGCTCTGCCGGGGGCTCCAGCCGGCCTGGTGGGCCCCGGCCCCGGCTCCCGCAGACCCGCCCGCCCGGGAGGCCTCGGGAGGGATCGGTGTAGGTTGTGTGGCTCAGGCCCTAGAACATGGCCTGTTTTCAGTCCGCGCTTTTGTTCTTTAATTTGCTAAATAGCTGGATTGGCTGTTTCACTTGTAGCTCGTGTGGTTAATGGTCAGAATCGAATTTGAAGTTGAAAACGTGGTTTTCTTTTGTGGCTGAAGCACGCGGAGGGAGGTCTGGGAACAGCTTCCGGCCGCTGCCTGTTTGCCGTTGGTCTCGGAGATGCCCCCGTCGCTGTGCTGCTGAGACCGCGTCTCCCGGTCCACGGCGAGAGCTCGTCATCGAGGTGGCAGCGGCGGGACCCTCCCTCGGGGCCTGCGTGCGCCCCACGGACGGACTGGGCCGGGTGACGGCCGGAGAGCGTGTTCCGGGGGCGCAGGCCTCTTCGTTAGAGCCTGCTGGGCTGTTCGCCGGGGAAGTGGAGAACTAGAACCCGCCGGCAGATAGAGCTCTTAGCAGCCGAGTGGGAGGCCGGCTGGATTCTGAGGAGGAGGGCGTCTGAGGTGAACTCAGGGGGTGGAGTTCAGTGGTTTTTTTCGCAAACGTGTCCGTATTTGCTGGACGTAGCCGCAGTGACAGAGGATTCTGGGTGAACAGCAGGCAGCTTCCGAGGCCCCCCTGAGACCACTCGGCTGCTGTCCCCTGCTCTGTGGGATTCTCAGAGGACCCGCTGTCCTGGTGCTCCACAAAGCCTGGCTGGAGGCCGCTGCTCACAGCTCCTCGGTGATGGCCTCCTGGCCTTGTCCGGAGGCTCCTGGTTCTGAGCCACAGGATGGCTCTGCTCGCTCCCCCCCACCCCCACCGTCCACCTGCCCCTCAGGAGGCCCAGGCGCAGCCACAGGTGCCACGTGAGGGGCAAAGAAGGCTTAGCCCTGTGGTCGGCAAACTGGCTCGAGAGCCACATGCGGCTCTTTGGCCTCTTGAGTTTTTAGCAAAGGCCAGCGTAGGGGTACCCTAATTAAGTTAATAACAGTGTGCCTACCTATATAGTTTAATTTTAAAAAATTTGGCTCTCAAAAGAAATGTCAATCGTTGTCCTGTTGACGTATGGCTCTGTTTTCTTATGAGTTTGCCTACCACTGGCTTAGCCTGTCCTCTTCTTGGATTTCAAGTCCTGTCATCTTTTCTTTGTTTTAAAAACATTTTTATAGATTTCAGAGAGAAAGAGAGAGGGATAGAATACATTAACAATGAGAGAGCATAACCAGTCGGCTGCGTCCTGCACACCCACTGGGGACCAGGCCCGCAGCCCAGCGTGTGCCCTGACTGGTATTCGCACCGTGGCCTCCTGGTTTATAGGTCGACGCTCAGCCCTGGGCCACGCCGGCCGGGCTCATCTCACTCTCCTGCCCGTGTTTTATTTGGGGACAACACCGTAGAGTAGGGGTGTCGAACTCAATCAGAGAAGGGGCCAAAATCTAAAATCCAGCCTAAATTGCGGGCCGAATGGTTTACTGAACAGTCATAAACTGTCATTGTGATGGAAACGCAGCAGAGTGCAGTGATGACAGCGCGGTGCGGGCCACATTGCAAGGCCTGGCGGGACGGATTTGGCCCGCGGGCCTTGTGTTTGACACATGTGCCGTAGAGAGAACTGAGAGGGTTATACGGGAGGGCCTGCCGCCCCCGGCCCCGCCCCTCCTCGTCGTCGTCCGTCTCGCTGGGTCTGCTGCGTGTCTTTCTGGTGGGTACTTGTGGCCGGCCGGAGCCTGGCTGCCGCTGACCATGCCTTCCTGAGGGACTCGGCCAGCAGGGCCGAGGGGTCCCCTCAGAGCTGCGGGCCCGTCCTCTTTTTCCCGAGTTAGCTGATATCCTGCTCGCCCCCAAACCTCCCCGGGGTCTTGGGGGCGTCTTAGGAGGGACATTCCCTTCCCTGACAGGCAGGCTCGTGGCGCCCAGGCCGTCCCCTGCCCCCATGGCGTCGCTGGCAGACCGCCTGTCGGCTCCCTGGCCTCACGGGTGCCGTCCCCGCAGGCTCTGCTCCGGGCAGTGCGGGAGAGGCCGTGCCCACTGCTGTCCGCGTCCTGCCGGCCACACCTGTCAGGCCCCGGCGTCCAGGGCCTTGGGGGGAGGAGCCAGCGGGAGCACAGGCGTCAGGACAGCCCTGGAGTCCTGCCCAGGAGCCGGAGCCGGGCCTCTGTCCAGTGCCCCTTTCCCAGGGCCCTCCGGGGCCGCCGCCGGCTCCGATGCCTGTAGCCGACATTGTGCCCGCCGAGGGGCGGAGGTGCTGGGTCGTTCACAGGAACACGATCCCGCGTCAGAGAGTGGCTGCTTTCCTCCCAGGCTGGGCCGGCGGGAGGCAGCTCCTTTCCCGGCCCGGCTGTCCAAAGCAGGTCCCCGGCTTCCGGGACCGGTGGTCTGGTTCCTCGTGTGCTCACCGATCCCGACCTGGGACCCGCCATGAATCTACGCCCAACTGCCCCAGGCCCCCGTGAGGGCGTCCGGGGTTACCCCGTCTGTCTCCTGGCCGAGGTCCTCGCCAGGTGGGGCTTGGCAGAGCTGGTGGCCGCTGCGTTCCGGGCCTGGGAAACGCTCTTTGCGAGCAGCGGCCCGTTTCTGGATCCCGCTGCCCTGTTTCCTGTGGCTGCAGAACGGATCGCCACGCACCTGCTGGTTTAGGGCCCTGCCCACTCGCCCCAGCTCTGGGGCAGCACAGCGGCTCCGTCACAGAGGTCAGCCCGGAGGTGCCCCGGTCTAGGGCCCTGTCCCTCTCCCTCAGCTCCCAGGGCTGTGGCAGCTGACACGGCTCTGCTTTCTGCCCAGCCAGCAGGCTCAACCCTCTGACGGCCCCTCACCGGCCAGAGAGCTCTGCTCAAAGGCCTGCCAGGTCCGGCCATCACACTCGGCTGCTGTTTTCTTTTTTAATGTATTTCTGTTGATTTCAGAGAGGAAGGAAGAGGGAGAGAGAGAGAGAAACATCAATGATGAAAGAGAACCATTCATCAGTTGACTCCTGCATGCCCCCTACTGGGGGCTCAAGCACACAACCCAGGCACGTGCCCTGGCCGGGATTTGAACCGTGACCTGCTGGTTCATAGATCAGTGCCCAACCACGGAGTCACACCAGCCAGGCCACCTGAGGCTATTTCCCATTGGTTTTTAGAGAGCATGGAAGGGAGGCAGAGACAGAGAGAGAAACGTTCATGTGAGAGAGACACACTGATTGGTTGCTTCTTGCATGTGCCCCAACCCAGCCAGGAATCAAGCCTGTGACCAAAGTGTGTGCCCTCAACTGAATGGAGCTGTGACTCTTCAGTCCATGGGCAAGTGCTCTAACCACTGAGGAACACCGGCCAGAGCTATTCTTAATTCTCTAAGTTTTTTTTTTGTTTTTTGTTTTAATATTTTATTGATTTTTTACAGAGAGGAAGGGAGAGAGAGATAGAGAGCTAGAAACGTCGATGAGAGCGAAACATCGACCAGTTGCCTCTTGCACACCCCCTACCGGGGATGTGCCCGCAACCAATGTACATGCCCTTGACCGGAATCGAACCCGGGACCTTTCAGTCCGCAGGCCGACGCTCTATCCACTGAGCCAAACCGGTCCCGGCGACTAATTCTCTAAGTTTTTTAAAAACTCAGAATGGAGCCCTGGCCAGTGGTTCAGTGGTTAGGGCGCCGGCCAGCGCACCCAGTTCCATTCAGGGTCGCTCACCAGGCCCAGCCAGGGTGCCTGCAGGAGGCAGCCAATCAGTGTATCTCGCTCACATCGATGTTTCCTCTCCCTTCCACTCTCTCTGAATACCGGGGAGAGACCCTCCGGTGAGGATGAACAGGAACTGGGAGTGAGTAGTGAATTTCAGAGTGATTTTTTGGGGTGCCTTGGGAGATCTTACCATTTCCCCCTTTTGGTCACAGTTATGTGTGTTCCCTGCACTCACTGCTGTTCTAGAGTCCCCTGGCCTGCTCTCCCGACGGCACGGCCTCGGCTCCGTCCACGGGGCTCGGTCTGCGGTTCCCACCCGCCTGGCCCGTGTGCGAGGCGGGGACACTGCCTCACGGGCGTTGTTTGAGCTGGGGTCCGAGAGCCGTCCTGGAGACACACACTGGCTTCCGAGTCGTGGTGGGACTCCTGGGCTTTCTGTTTACGGCCCCCACTCCTTTATACAGAGGTCAGCTTCGCCGGCCCAGACGTGGCCGCACTGCTGCTCACCTGTGCCGTGTCCCGTGTCCCGTGTTCAGTGAAGCCTCACGGCACCCTCCCCGCCCGCTGCGGCTACCCTCCCGCCTCTTCCGCATGAGGGCGCGGCCCAGGCCCGCACCGGGACGGGTTCAGGAGCCACAGCCACGCCACCCGTGCTGGGCAGGGGGTGTGGCCGGCGCAGCCTCGTGAGGGCCCCCAGGCCTGCGTCTCCCTCCCTCTGCCCTTTTTTTTGAAACTTAATTGAGCTCCAAAGAGTAGTTAATAACAAATGCAATTATGGGAAAGCTGGGAGTCGGATGATGTAAATGGGTGTAATGTGAACTCGAGCTGGTCTGGCCGGGGGTTCCACGGCTGTGCTGTCCTGGTGGTAAACCCAGCATTCGCACGGCGTTCCGGCTGTCCCCTGTACCTGGGCCTCCCAGAGGCTTTCCTCAGCCGTGGCCGGCCCTCACCGCCCGCCCGGCTCCTGTCCGGCACGGCTCTGGGCCCCTGAGCCTCACTGGCCTCTCCCTGGTCCGAACACACCGAGTGCTGGGGTGTCTCGTCCACCCCTACAGAGCCCACATCCTCGTCCCCCTGTGCCCCGAGCCAGACTGGAGCCTGCGCGAGCTCACCACACGGAAGTTAAAGAACAGCTGCAGCCCGTCCCTCCGGGGCCAGCCCGCCACCAGGGCCCCAAATGCTTCTCCGAGCTTCACAGCCCTCATCCTGCCTCCTGGGGCCCCGCCCCGCTGTCCCCGGACCCCCACTGCCCCGAGGTGCGCCCCCCACACACACCTGCCTCAGGGACACCACGGCAAAGACTGGCCTGTGTCCCTCTGTCCACCCTGGCCCGTCACTGTCATTAATTCTGGCTTTCCTTTGGTTCCACACGTTCACTGACCGGGCCATTGCCACGGTGTGGGGGCCACGGTGTGGGGGCCACGGTGTGGGGGCCGCAGTGGGGGTCACGGTAATGGGGGTCACGGTGTGAAGGTCACAGTGTGAAGATCGCGGTGGGGGTCAGAGTGGGGGTTGCGGTGGGGGTTGCGGTGTGAAGGTCACAGTGTGAAGATCGCGTTGGGGTTCAGAGTGGGGGTCGCGGTGTGGCGGCTGCGTGGGGGTCACAGTGTGAAGGTCACAGTGTGAAGATCGCGGTGGGGGTCACGGTGTGAAGATCACAGTGTGAAGATCGCGGTGGGGGTCGAGGTGGGGCTGCGTGGGGGTCACAGTGTGAAGGTCACAGTGTGAAGATCGCGGTGGGGGTCACGGTGTGAAGATCGCGGTGGGGGTCACGGTGTGAAGGTCACAGTGTGAAGATCGCGGTGGGGGTCGCGGTGTGGGGGCTGCGTGGGGGTCACGGTAATGGGGGTCACGGTGTGAAGGTCACAGTGTGAAGATCGCGGTGGGGGTCGCGGTGTGGGGGCTGCGTGGGGGTCGCGGTGTGAAGATCGCGGTGGGGGTCAGAGTGGGGGCCGCAGTGGGGGGCCCCGCCGGCCGCACTGGTGACACTGCTGTCTGTCTCCGCAGGCCCAGCATGTAGCAGAGGGTCCCGGCCACCGGTCCAGGTGAGAGCAGTGCTGGTTCCCTCGGGGATCGCCGGGGCTGGGTGCACCCCCTCCCTCGGGCGGGGCCTGTGGGAGCTCGGGAAGCACACTGGGGGGGCCCGCGGGTGCAGGAACCTGCGTCTCCCGGCTCCTTGCTGTGCGGCCGGCTCCGTGCGCTGTGGCCCCGGGACTCCCCATCCAGCAGGGACCAGGGCAGCAGTGCCATCCCTGTGCGGGGCTGAACCCCCAGAGGGACTGAGCCCCCGGAGGGACTGAACCCCCCAGAGGGACTGAGCCCCCGGAGGGACTGAACCCCCGGAGGGACCAAACCCCCGGAGGGACCGAGCCCCCGGAGGGACCAAACCCCCGGAGGGACCAGAGCCCCGGAGGGACCGAGCCCCCGGAGGGACCGAGCCCCCAGAGGGACCGAGCCCCCGGAGGGACCGAATCCCCGGAGGGACTGAGCCCCCGGAGGGACTGAGCCCCGGAGGGACTGAGCCCCCGGAGGGACTGAGCCCCCGGAGGGACTGAGCCCCGGAGGGACCGAGCCCCCGGAGGGACCAGAGCCCCGGAGGGACCGAACCCCCGGAGGGACCGAACCCCCGGAGGGACCGAGCCCCGGAGGGACCGAACCCCCGGAGGGACCGAGCCCCCGGAGGGACTGAGCCCCCGTGCGGGGCTGAACCCCCAGAGGGACCGAACCCCCGGAGGGACCGAACCCCCGGAGGGACCGAACCCCCGGAGGGACCGAACCCCCGGAGGGACCGAACCCCCGGAGGGACCGAGCCCCGGAGGGACCGAGCCCCCGGAGGGACTGAGCCCCCGGAGGGACTGAGCCCCCGGAGGGACCGAGCCCCCGGAGGGACTGAACCCCCAGAGGGACTGAACCCCCGGAGGGACACTGAACCCCCAGAGGGGCCGAGCCCCCGGAGGGACCGAGCCCCCGGAGGGACCGAGCCCCAGAGGGACTGAGCCCCCGGAGGGACCGAACCCCCGGAGGGACTGAGCCCCAGAGGGACTGAGCCCCCGGAGGGACTGAGCCCCAGAGGGACTGAGCCCCCGGAGGGACTGAGCCCCAGAGGGACTGAGCCCCCGGAGGGACCGAGCCCCCGGAGGGACCGAGCCCCCGGAGGGACCGAGCCCCAGAGGGACCAAACCCCCGGAGGGACCAGAGCCCCCGGAGGGACCGAGCCCCCGGAGGGACCGAGCCCCTGGAGGGACCGAACCCCCGGAGGGACCGAGCCCCTGGAGGGACCGAACCCCCGGAGGGACACTGAGCCCCCGGAGGGACCGAACCCCCGGAGGGACACTGAACCCCCGGAGGGACCGAGCCCCCGGAGGGACCGAACCCCCGGAGGGACCGAACCCCCGGAGGGACCGAGTCCCCGGAGGGACCGAACCCCCGGAGGGACCGAACCCCCGGAGGGACACTGAGCCCCCGGAGGGACCGAGCCCCCGGAGGGACCGAGCCCCCGGAGGGACCGAACCCCCGGAGGGACCGAGCCCCCGGAGGGGCCGAGCCCCCGGAGGGACTGAGCCCCCGTTTCTGCAGAAGATGGGAGCGGAGCGGAGCGCGACGGGCAGGCGCGGGGGAGAAGACGCCGAGAGCGCAGCGCGGAGGCCCGGGCGCCCCAGCGGCTCGGCCGAGGCCTGAGCGCCCATGCGGAGAGCGGACCCGGCGCCCTGAGGAGGTAACGCCTTGCGCGCTCAGGGGGATGACGTCAGGGGCGGTGCTCACGGGGATGACGTCACGGGCGGAGCTCACAGGGATGACGTCACGGGCGGCGCTCACGGGGATGACGTCAGGGGCGCCCAGGGGCAGGGCTGCTCCCACAGGCTTTCTGCCTCCGCCACGGAGCGGGCACGGCCCAGGCCAGGCAGACCCTCCTGCCGGGTGCGCGGTGCGCGGGCTGCTCAGGGCACCGCTGCCCCCTGGCGGCGGCGGGCGGCAGGGCAGGCGGTCCTGCAGCAGATGCGGCGGCCAGTGGACACGGGCCTCTCTCCCGCCGGCAGCGGCCCTGGCGGCCCCCATCCCCGCCTCCGTCACCTGGTGGTGTGGACAGCGGCCTCCCTCCCTGCTCTCAGCCGGAGTCTGGTTCCGGGTACCGTCCCCGTGCGGTTCGGAGGCACACGCCATCCTGGTCCCCGGGGCGCCTGGCACTCAGCCGGTGGTGTCTGTGGGCTCCTCCGCCCTGGGCCCCCTCCCCTTGTGGCCCATCGGTGGGGTTAGCTGGGAAGGGGCCTGGCCCTGGCCGGGTGTGGGGCAGCCTCCCCCTCCGCACGCCCTCTGGCTCCTGGAGGGACGCTCTGACTTCCTTTCCCGGAGCCTGGATCTCGGGTGAAATGCACTGCAATGTCTCAGATATTAATTCATGTGCGTTTTTCTCTTGCAGAAGCCAAAGATGTTGACCAGAAAGATTAAACTCTGGGACATAAACGCCCACATCACCTGCCGCCTGTGCAGCGGGTACCTCATCGACGCGACCACCGTGACCGAGTGTCTGCACACGTGTATGTGAGAATGTTCTAGAATGTGGTCTGACAGCCGTGTGCCGGTGCACTGTCTGACCGAGTGCACGTGTGGGTGTGAAAACGTCTAGAATGTGGCCTCTGACGGTTTCTAGTCGTCTGTTCTTCGATACTTGGGCTATTTTTTTTTTAAACCAAAAGTTTTAGCTCAAGTACGAGGCAGGACATAGAAGCAGGAATAAAAACGATCGTGAGGATAAGTCAGAAAAGTGATTTCAAGTTAAAAATACTGTGAGTGCTTCCATAGCGACACCATTTCCAAAAGCTCAGTCCAGGAGGAGGTGTGATTTGCGTAGAGCAGACAGCGTGACGTGGAGTTCACTCCTGATGGGCGGGAAGCTCGCTGTTTTACACGTTTCACACGGGATCGTGGGCGCCGTACGTGGTCAGACGGGGAAGGCGCGTGGCCTGTGCGGACGTGGCCTGCCTGGCGAGCAGCCAGCCCGCTCTCTGGTGATGCCGTTGTGGAGGCCAAGGCAGACAGGCCCTGTCAAACCTGCACCTCCCTTCTAGCTTTTCACGCTGATTTTAGAGTGAGGAGGGGGAAGAGAGAAACATCGATTGGTCGCCTCCCATATGCTCCCTGACCAGGACGTGCCCTGGGCCGAGAATCAAACCCGCAGCCTCTCGGTGCACAGATGACATGCTCACTGAGCCACCCGGCCAGGGCTCTGTGACTCTTTGATCCTGTTTTTCACTTTAGGAAGTAAAGTATTTTCCAGTTTTAGTGCTTTTTTAGTTAAAGGGAGTTGTACTTTTATTTATTTATTTATTTATTTATTAAATATATTTTATTGATTTTTCACAGAGAGGAAGAGAGAGGGATAGAGAGTTAGAAACATCGATGAGAGAGAATCATCGATCAGCTGCCTCTTGCACACCCCCTACTGGGGATGTGACCGCAACCAAGGTACATGCCCTTGCCTGGAATCGAACCCGGGACCTTTCAGTCCGCAGGCCGACGCGCTATCCACTGAGCCAAACCGGTCCCGGCAAGGGAGTTGTACTTTTAGATAGTGGGGGAATAACTGAATTTCTGATGCACAAAGTCCTGTGAGCTTTCAGCCGGCACAGCGCTGGACACCAGCCCAAGGGGAGCCCGGCCTCCCGCCTTCCCGCCTCCAGCCTCTGCTCCCCGCCTCCTCGCGAGGCAGCAGCGCCGGGGGAGGGCGGCCTGGGCCGACGGTGACTCTGCCTCTGCCCGCAGTCTGCCGGAGCTGCCTGGTCAAGTACCTGGAGGAGAACAACACCTGTCCCACCTGCAGAATCGTCATCCACCAGAGCCACCCGCTGCAGTACATCGGGTGAGCCTGGGGCGCCCGGTCCGGGCCTGGCCGCCGCCCGGGACACGAGTCCAGCGGCATTCACTCGGGCCACGGGCCCGCCCAGAGGGAACTCGGGCCTCGTGGGGGGGCACCCAGAGGGAACTCGGGCCTCGGGGCCCCACCCACAGGGAACTCGGGCCTCGGCGGGGGGGGGGGGGGGGGGGCACCCACAGGGAACTCGGGCCTGGGGGGGGGGGCACCCAGAGGGAACTCGGGCCTCGGGGCCCCACCCACAGGGAACTCAGGCCTCGGGGGGAGGGGGCACCCACAGGGAACTTGGGGGGGGCCTGCCCAGAGGGAACTCGGGCCTCGTGGGGGGGCACCCAGAGGGAACTCGGGCCTCGGGGGGGGGGGGCCCACCCAGAGGGAACTCGGGCCTCGGGGGGTGGGGGGCACCCAGAGGGAACTTGGGGGGGACCCCGCCCAGAGGGAACTCGGGCCACAGGGGCCTCACCCAGAGGGAACTCGGGCCTCGGGGGGTGGGGGGGGCCCACCCAGAGGGAACTCGGGCCTCGGGGGGTGGGGGGCACCCAGAGGGAACTTGGGGGGGGCCCGCCCAGAGGGAACTCGGGCCTCGTGGGGGGGCACCCAGAGGGAACTCGGGCCTCGGGGGGGGGGTCACCCAGAGGGAACTCGGGCCTCTGGGGGAGGGTACCCAGAGGGAACTCGGGCCTGGGGGGCGGGGAGGGCACCCAGAGGGAACTCGGGCCTCGAGGGGCCCCCGCCCTGAGGGAACTCGGGCCTCGGGGGAGGGGGGCACCCAGAGGGAACTCGGGCCTCGGGGGGCCCCGCCCAGTGGGAACTCGGCCAAAGGGCCTCACAGAGGAGTGAGGGGCGAGGACCCTGCCGCTAATCTGTGCTGCTCCTCCTGCAGGCATGACAGGACCATGCAGGACATCGTGTACAAGCTGGTGCCGGGCCTGCAGGAAGGTGGGTGTCGGTGCTGCTCCCAGTGGGCGGCGGGGCTGAGCCCGAGGCCCACTTCTGGCAGAGCCACTCTGTCCCTGCTTCGAACTCACTGGCCCCTCCCGCTGGTCCCATCGCTGTCTGTCCCTCGTCTGCGCCCTCAGTCCTGGGTGGGCGCCTGCAGCCAGCGCTGTGGGCACAGGGGTGCCAGTGTAACTGTACTTACAGTCACATTTCATGAGAATTAAAAGAAATGCTCTGTGTACACCCATCCTGTAGTGGGAGTGGCCATTCTTTGAAAAGTTTTGCATAGCTCTGGCCAGTTTGGCTTAATGGATAGAGCCTCAGCCTGCAGACTGAAGTGTCCCAGGTTCGAATCCAGCCAAGGGCACAGGCCTGGGTTGTGGGCTGGATCCCCAGTGGTGTGTGCAGGAGGCAGTCGATCCACAATTCTCTCTCATCGTTGATGTTTCTATCTCTCCCTCTCCCTTTTTCTCTGACATCAGTAAACATATATATATGTTTAAGTACATATATTAGAAAAAAGTTCTGCACAGTGCTCCAGGCTGAGACTGTCCTCGCCCTGTCCGGGGCGTGGTGGGTGCGCTCCGTCCACACGGTGAGGCTGATCTTCTCGGTGCCCAGGTTCAGGAGAGGGTGATGGTTGAAGATTCAGCTGCTGCCTTAGGTCTGTGGAGAGCATGCCTGGCTCTAGTATGTAACTTGGATGTTCAAGTCCTCCTGGTCCCACGTGCATCCGTGTGGGACAAACTCCGTGGGGCATGTAGATGGGAGCAGTGTTAGTCCTGGAACCGGCAGAGTCGCAGAGAAGGCTTAGACGTGGGCAAGACCAGTCACACCGGGACCCTGTCCATCCTGCGGGGCCTTGGGTGTGACTCCCGTCCAGGCAGCTCCCAGCTTTTACCGTCTGCGTTCTCGTGTGCTGTGTGTGGCCGCGCGCTCAGGGTGCACGGCCTGAAGAGGTTAAAGCTGTGCCTGGTCTCTCACAGCGGAGATGAGGAAGCAGCGGGAGTTCTACCACAAGCTGGGCTTGGAGGTGCCTGGGGACATCAAGGGCGAGACTGGCTCTGCGAAGCAGCACTCGGACCCCCATCGGAACGGTGAGCGACAGATCACTGTCAGGCCCTTCCCGAGAGCTCCTGTCCCCATCCCCTGCCCCCTGACCCTGTCCCGTCCCCATCCTGGGGCCTGTCCCCTATACCCTGTCCTCATCCTGTCCTCGTCCCCATCCCCGGTCCCTGTCCCCATCCCTGTCCCCTATACCCTGTTCTCATCCTGTCCCGTCCCCGTCCCCATCCCCATCCCCTGTTTCCATTCCCTGCCCCCCGACCCCGTCCCCTGTCCCCATGCTGGTCCCTGTCCCCATCCCTGTCCCCTATACCCTGTCCCCATCCCGGTCCCTGTCCCCATCCCTGCCCCCGTCCCCGTCCCTGTCCCCATCCCTGTCCCCTATACCCTGTCCCCATCCCTGTCCCCTATACCCTGTTCTCATCCTGTCCCGTCCCCGTCCCCATCCCCGGTCCCTGTCCCCATCCCCGGTCCCTGTCCCCATCCCTGTCCTCTATACCCTGTCCCCATCCCTGTCCCCTATACCCTGTCCCCATCCCTGTCCCCTATACCCTGTCCCCATCCCTGTCCCCTATACCCTGTCCCCATCCCTGTCCTCTATACCCTGTCCCCATCCCTGTCCCCTATACCCTGTCCCCATCCCGGTCCCTGTCCCCATCCCCTGCCCCCGTCCCCGTCCCTGTCCCCATCCCTGTTCCCTATACCCTGTCCCCATCCCTGTCCCCTATACCCTGTTCTCATCCTGTCCCGTCCCCATCCCCGGTCCCTGTCCCCATCCCGGTCCCTGCCCCTCTACGCTGTTCTCATCTCGTCCCTGTCCCCATCCCCGGTCCCTGTCCCCATCCCCGGTCCCTGTCCCCATCCCTGTCCTCTATACCCTGTCCCCATCCCTGTCCCCTATACCCTGTCCCCATCCCTGTCCCCTATACCCTGTCCCCATCCCTGTCTTCTATACCCTGTCCCCATCCCTGTCCCCTATACCCTGTCCCCATCCCTGTCCCCTATACCCTGTCCCCATCCCTGTCCCCTATACCCTGTCCCCATCCCTGTCCCCTATACCCTGTCCCCATCCCTGTCCCCTATACCCTGTTCTCATCCTGTCCCGTCCCCGTCCCCATCCCCGGTCCCTGTCCCCATCCCGGTCCCTGCCCCTCTACGCTGTTCTCATCTCGTCCCTGTCCCCATCCCCGGTCCCTGTCCCCATCCCCGGTCCCTGTCCCCATCCCTGTCCTCTATACCCTGTCCCCATCCCTGTCCCCTATACCCTGTCCCCATCCCTGTCCCCTATACCCTGTCCCCATCCCTGTCCCCTATACCCTGTCCCCATCCCTGTCCTCTATACCCTGTCCCCATCCCTGTCCCCTATACCCTGTCCCCATCCCTGTCCTCTATACCCTGTCCCCATCCCTGTCCCCTATACCCTGTCCCCATCCCTGTCCTCTATACCCTGTCCCCATCCCTGTCCCCTATACCCTGTCCCCATCCCTGTCCCCTATACCCTGTCCCCATCCCTGTCCTCATCCTGTCCCCGTCCCCATTCCCATCCCCGTCCCCATCCCCTGTCCCCAATACCCTGACCTCATCGTGGCCCCTGGCCCCCTGGCCCCGCCTGCCTACCCCGCCCCAGGAAGTTTGTAATAATCTTTGTGAAAGTCGGTGACATGGTTGTCCCTTGGGGTTGGGGGCAGAGGGCGCTGCGGGGGTGGCCAGTGGCTTCGGGAGCGTGTGTAGGAGGCAGAGTGGATGTGGATTCCGGGTAAAGTTGATGTGTTGTAGGTCTGTGCGTCGATAACAGATCAGAGCAATCTCCGATGTCCTGGCGTTTCCCCGGGGGCCACACCATCGTGGGAACAGGCCTCCTGTGCTTTGGGGGCCATCAGGGAGGAGGGCAGCTGCTGGCCCCACCGCCGGCTGCTGGCACCACGGGAACATGCTGGGACCGGAGTCTGTCCCTGCGTGCAACCATGGTCTTCCTTTCAAAGTGGTGCTGAGTCCGGCCAGTGTGGCTCAGTGTGAACCAGGTCACCCTTCAGCTCCTGGCCAGGGCACATGCCCGGTTGCATGATTCTCTGCCATCATTGATGTCTCTCTCTCTCCCTCTCCCTTCCTCTTGCTGAAATCAGTAAAAACCTATTTTAGCCCTTTGTACGCCATAAGCATCGATAGATGCAATTAAATTCAAAATACCGTGGCAGGTGGGTGGTTTCCGTGTTGGCGCGTGGCAGTTACCGGGTTAGGTAAGTGGCTTTGAGCCATGCCACTGGGAGGCCGCGCTGCTGTGCTTCCCTGCCCCTCCCACTGCTGCAGACCCATCGGAGCCCCCGGGGTCCTGACAGGAGCACACACAGCACACATGGCCCCCCCGGGCGGGTGCTTGTGTGCAAGCTCTTACTACACTTTTTTAAAAAATAAGTTAACTTTTTGTAAATATATTTTTATTGATTTCAGAGAGGAAGGGAGAGGGAGCGAGGGACAGAAACATGTGATGAGAGACTTACTGATTGGCTTCTGCTGACGCCCCACCTGGGGATCAAGCCCACAGTCTGGAGTAGGGGTGTCAAACTCAATCAGAGAAGGGGCCAAAATCTAAAATCCAGCCTAAATCGCGGGCCGAATGGTTTACTGAATAGTCATAAACTGTCATTGTGATGGAAACGCAGCGGAGTGCAGGGATGACAGCGCAGTGCGGGCCACATTGCAAGGCCTGGCGGGACGGATTTGGCCCGCGGGCCTTGTGTTTGACACATGTGGTCTGGAGTGTCCTGCTGGGAAAGGAGCCGTGACCTTGTTCAGAGGTCGATGCTCACCACGGAGCATCCCAGACGGGCCTCCCACTGGTTTTCCTGGCATTTCAAGTGTATGAGGAGCGGACGGCTCAGCATTGGGCCTAACAAACGGGACCTTCTCTTTCTGCTGAAAGGCGAAGCCAAAGCGGACGAGAGCTCCCGCACGGAGGCTGCGGAGGAGAAGCAGGAGGAGGACAGCGACTACCACCGCAGCGACGAGCAGGTGGGTGCCTGGCCCGCGCCTGCGCCTCTGAGCCCTCCGGTGGGCTCGCTCCGTTTAAACAGAAAGGCCTCAGGGAAAGAAAGCAGAAACACAAAACGTTCATTCCCTTTCTTAGCTTTTCCTGCCGCTTCTGCACTGTGTTTTTACTTCCTTTTTAATTGTCAAAGTAGCGTAGGCTCACTTAAAACACTTCAGCTATGAAAAGGGCAAAGTTCACCCTCCACACCCGTGCCGCCTCAGCCCGGCTCTGGGTGTCACTGCGTTTCCCGCAAACAATTCATGAGAACGTGAAACCTCACGGTGTAAAGGTGATTTAAAATGTGACGAAGAGGCATCTGCTCACGCTACTTACTGCAGCATTAGACTGGAACGGGAAAGTGGGCGCACAGGTTCTGCAGAAAAGCCTGAGAATCCCGTGTCCTGTCCACCTCGAGCCTGGTGGTTCCCAGGCCCAGGCCCCTCCCCCTCAGGGTGGCACCCCGGTTCCTCTCACCCACACAGGACAGCCCCATCCTGCTGAGGGTGGGGAGGGGCCTCGTGAACCGCAGGCTGTTCCGGCCCCCGCTCCCCCTGGGCACATCCTGCAGAGCAGGGGCCTGTCCTGCGAGGGCCTCGCAGCAGGTGCCCGGCACAGCCTGTGGGCAGAGGGCACGTGTGTGTCCGCACAGGAGCGCCCAGACGGCTCCCGCCTCGGCCTGATTTCAGAGGAAGGGAGACCAGAGCCCGCAGGGAGCAGAGTTCTCGGATCCCCTGGAGTCCGAGTCAGACAGACTGGAGCGTCAGAGCCGCTCTCACAACGTGGCAAACAGTCGTGGGTTTTCAGACAATGTGTGTGAAATGATTTTTAAAATTCCTTTCCTGTGGTGAGGGGGTCTGTTTGGTTTCTGGTTTCGAGAGTCGGCCTGGCCATGGGGGTCACAGGGCCAGCCGCCCAGCGCTGCTTCTCTCCCGAAGGTGAGCATCTGCCTCGAGTGCAACAGCAGCAAGCTGCGCGGCCTGAAGCGCAAGTGGATCCGCTGCTCCGCCCAGGCCACCGTGCTGCACCTGAAGAAGTTCATCGCCAAGAAGCTCAACCTCTCGTCCTTCAACGAGGTACCGGCCCCGCAGCGGGCGCCACACGGCCTTTCTGGCCTCACAGGGGTGCTTCCAGCTTTGGGTTTTGGTGTTTTTCTCACAACCTTCTTTGGAGAGTTAAATTAGAAAAGAAAAGCTGTGTGTTTTGCCCAGCGCATACCAGGAAGCAGTGAGGCAGGATGGCCCACAGACGCGAATGGGAGGGGGTGATGAGCGAGCTTGTTAAAATGTGCCGCAGGGTTAAGTTCACCGACAGACAGACGGACGGACGGACGGTGGACGGATGGACGGCGGTGGGCGGGATGACTGGGTGGGAAGGCAGGTAGGTAAAACACTGTCCAGTTGCCATAAATGCCGAGAGGAAAACACAGCCTGGTGGCTTGTGGGCTCCGTGGTGGTGGGCTGGAGCACACAGCTGCGGGCCCAGGGCCTCTGCGGGGCAGCACTGATGCCAGGATGCACCTTGTCCCCAGGAGCCCACTCTGCGTGAAGCGGCGCGAGCAGAGGGCTTTGAGGGCCTTGAGCACAGGGTGCCGATCTGAGCTGTGGTTTTAAATAGCCCCAAGCTGCCGAAACCCGTTTGGCTCCGAGGTAGAGTGTCGGTCTGCGGACTGAAAGGACCCAGGTTCGATTCCGGTCAGGGGCATGTATGTTGCAGGCACATCCCTGGTGGGGGGTGTGCAAGAGGCAGCTGGTCGGTGTTTCTCTCTCATCGATGTTTCTAGCTCTCTCTCTCTCTCCCTCTCCGTAAAAAATCAATAAAATATATTTAAAAAAATAAAATAAAATAGCCCCAAGCTGGGGACAGAAATGGGGGCCAGGGCGGCCCGCGAGGGGCTCTCTGACAGGACTGCCAGGGGAGAGGGGCCAGGTGGTGAGGCGGGACAGACCTGAGGTGCGTTGTAGAGAGCACTGGGCGGTGGTGGCCCTGACCCAGCTGTGCAACAGCCTGACCCAGAGCCTGTGAATGGAGCCATTTGGGGAAGGATCTTTTTGGTGTAACGAAGGGCCTTGAGGTAAAGTAGCCCTGGGGCATCTGGTGGACCTCACGCCAATCACAGTGTCCTCCCCAGAGGGAGCAGCGGAAACCTGAGACACACGGGTGGTGTGAGGACAGAGGAAGGAGGCAGACACGGGCCCGGGACCCGGGGGAGGGGGGGGGACGCGGGCCCGGGGGAGGGGGAGGACTCAGGCTCAGGACCCGAGGGAGGGGGAGGACTCAGGCTCAGGACCCGAGGGAGGGGGAGGACTCAGGCTCAGGACCCGAGGGAGGGGGAGGACTCAGGCTCAGGACCCGGGGGAGGGGGAGGACTCAGGCTCAGGACCCGGGGGACGGGGAGGATGCGGGCCTGGGACTCGGCCCAGGAGCTGCAGTGGCAGGAAGAACCCCACACACACCTGGGAGGAGCTGCCTGCCGGCACGTCGGTGAGAGAGTGAACTTCAGCCGTCTAATTCGCCAGTTGCCATAGGAAACCAAACTAGATTTTGGTACTGAAAGTGGGGTGATGCTTAACAAATCCCCAAAAATGTGGCTGTGGCTTTGGACTTGGGTGATAGTTAGAGACGAGAAGAATTTTATGAAACACAACCTTCAATGCCTTGAAGGTCACCTTGAAGAGACTTGTGGGAGTGCAGCCTTCCAGGTGGTTCTGCGATGGCCCAGGGGTAAGTGAGGGGCTTCTCAGGCACGTGTCGCAGAAACGGTCCGGAAGACGCTGCAGGTGGGACGGGGACGCGGCGTGCGTGTGGAGCGCGAGCAGGCTGGCTGGGCCTGCAGTGGCGGGCAGGCCGTGGGAGACAAGCTTGGGCAACGAGCAGAGTATTGAGCGCGTGGTCGTTCTCTGCGTACAAGGAGGTGCACAGGAGAGGCGGCTCAGAAAAGAAGGGCTGAGCAAACCAGTACCTGATGATCCTGTGCATCCACAGCCTGTCCAGATGCAAAAAGACGGTTCTATCGGAACGCCATGTTAGGAAGGCACGCTCCGCGGAGAGGGCCAGTGTGGCTGCACAGTCTTCCGCTGAGAGAGGAGCTGCAGGCGAGGAGAGGGGAGGGGAGGGAAGGGGAGGGGGGGGGAGGGGAGGGGAGGGGAGGGGAGAGGAGCGGAGAGGACAAGAGAGGGGAGGGGTGGGAAGGGGAGGGGAGGGGAGAGGAGCGGAGAGGACAAGAGAGGGGAGGGGAGGGAAGGGAAGGGGAGGTGAGGACAAGAGAGGGGAGGGGAGGGAAGGGAAGGGGAGGTGAGAGGAAGGGAGGGGAGGGGAGGGGAGAGGACAAGAGAGGGGAGGGGAGGAGAGGGGAAAGGAGAGGAGAGGACAAGAGAGGGGAGGGGAAGGGAGGGGGGAGAGGGGAGAGAAGGGGAAGAGAGGGGAGGGGAGGAGAGAACGGAAGGGGAGGGGAGAGGAGGGGAAGGGGGGAAGGGAAAGGGGAGGGGAGGGGAAGGGAAGGGGGGAAGGGAGGGAGAGGACAGGGGAGGGGAGGGGAGAGGACAAGGGAGGGGAGGGGAGGGGAGAGCAGAGGAGGGGAGGAGGGGAGGGGAGGGGAGAGAATGGGGAAGAGGGGAGGGGAGGAGGAGAGGACAAGAGAGGGGAAGGGAGGGGAGGGGAAGGGAGGGGGAGGAGAGGGGAGGGGAGGGGAAGAGAGGGGAGGGGAGAGGAGGGGAGGGGAGAGGACAAGAGAGGGGAGGGGAGGGGAAGGGAGGGGGAGGAGAGGGGAGAGAAGGGGAAGAGAGGGGAGGGGAGGGGAGGACGGGAGGGGCGGCAGAGGAGGGGAGCTTTCTGGGGGACTGGGTCTGTGACAGCCATGGAGACCCCCGGGGTCGATGAGCTGCTGTGTCGGCACCAGCTGGGACAGGAATGAGGAGAGGCTGTCACTTCCGAGCTCCAGGCAGGGTCTCAGGGTGGAGCCCCTCCGCCCGGCGTGAGCTGCCCTTCGGCAAAGGGGAGAGGGCTCCGGGCAGAGCTCACCCCCGTGGGGACTCCTGCAGTTCTGGCGTTTCTCCGCTGGACTGGGAGCTTGCCGAGACCAGTCACCCTGTGCTTCCTGTCCAGCTCCCAGTGGGCAGGCCTGTCTCCCTGTGCCTGTTCACCTCGTGGTCCAGTCTGAGGCGGAGAGGGCATTGCCCAGGTGGCCCCGCCGGGCGCTCACCACCCCTGGTCCATGTGAGTCAGAGGCAGGTCTGGGATGTTCAGCTGCTGGTATCTGGATGTGATTTTGAAGTTGATACTGGAATCACTTGAAACTCGGGGACGTTGAGATGGAGGGCATGGGGTGGGCTTGGGGACCTAAGCTGCCTGTAGTAGGTAAATGGCAACCCCATCAATAGATGCGCCCACCTCCTAACCCCAGAACCGTGAGTGACGGAGCATGGCCTCGGATGTGTGTTAGAATGTGGATGTGAAGGGAGAGAAAAGAATGGAGGTGAGGAGATTGTCCTGAATTGCCAGGAGGTGCCCTAAACCCAGGGAGTCTTACCAGAGAAGGGCAGGCAGACTGTCTCCTCTGATCACAAGGAACAGAGGTGGGAATGAGTAACACAGGGAAGTCTGGAAAACACACAAGCGTGTGGAAATTAAACAACACACAATTTATCAATGAGCCAAGAGAAATGAGAAAATTCTGAGATGACTGAAAATGAGAACACAGCGTTCCGACACACATGGGCAACAGCGGTAAATAGCCAGGTGTAAAGCAATAGAGATCTCCGCTCAGCAGCCTGACCCACAGCTTCAGGAACCAGGAAAAACAAGCCAAACCCAGAGGCAGGGGGAGGAATGGAGATTGTGGCAGATAAGCAAGTTGAGAGTAGAAAAACAACCGAGAAAATCGGTTCTTCAAAAAGTTCCAGCTAGGATGGACTAAGAAAAAGAAGAATAAAAAGTACTAAAATTGGAAATGAAAGTGACATCACTACCAATTCTCAAGAAGTAAGAAGGATTATAAGAGAACTAGAGGATTATAAGAGAACGAAATGGTTAGAGTTAGAAACATCGATGAGAGAGAAACATCCATCAGCTGCCTCCTGCACACCCCCCACTGGGGATATGCCCGCAACCAAGGTCCATGCCCTTGCCCGGAATCGAACCCGGGACCCGCAGGCCGATGCTCCATCCACTGAGCCGCACCGGTCTCAGCCAGTCCAAGCAGTTTTAACGTGGTACGTGCCCTCACCAGGTGGAGTAGCCACCCTGCTCCACCCAGACCCGGCGTCCTCCTGCCAACAGGAAGTGAGCGATGGAGCCGGGGAGCCATAGACACTGGCCCATGACGGAGGCCCGTGTGGAGGCTGCTCCCCGGACCCCCCCCCCCCCGGCGGCCTGGTCACTGGGGGGCAGCGGGAGCTGAGCCGACGGAGCCCGAGGGTTCCAGGTTCTGTGAGACCGGGCTGGGCCCTGTGTGCAAACCCACAGGTCAGCACGGGCACCTCCCTTCCAGGGCTGCTGGGGGGCGACGGGCATGTGGGAGAGTCTGGGCCATCTGCTCAGCTTTGTGTGAACCTAAAAGGCTCTGAAAACCTCTCTTGGAAAAGGACGTAACGACAGGGAGCCCATTCCCTTTTCCCAGGAGGCGGGCGGGACAAGGTGGCCGGGGTGGGCGAGGCGGGCGGGCGCTCCCAGCGAGGGGCCGCCAGGGTGTGGCCAGGCTTCTCCGCGCCCCCTGCGCCCACGGGCCTGACCGGCATCTCTCCCGCCAGCTGGACATCCTGTGCAACGAGGAGATCCTGGGCAAGGACCACACGCTCAAGTTCGTGGTCGTCACACGCTGGAGGTTCAAGGTGAGCCTCGTGCTGGGTGTGGACTCGGGGTCTGCCACGGCCGCCGCGCTGCCTGTGCGCTGCCGGCTCGCCCGAGCAGACGGTCACGTGTTCTGGAGAGTGTGCAGACGGTCACGTGTTCTGGAGAGAGTGTGCAGACGGTCACGTGTTCTGGAGAGAGTGTGCAGACGGTCACGTGTTCTGGAGAGAGTGTGCAGACGGTCACGTGTTCTGGAGAGAGTGTGCAGACGGTCACGTGTTCTGGAGAGTGTGCAGACGGTCACGTGTTCTGGAGAGAGTGTGCAGACGGTCACGTGTTCTGGAGAGAGTGTGCAGACGGTCACGTGTTCTGGAGAGAGTGTGCAGACGGTCACGTGTTCTGGAGAGAGTGTGCAGACGGTCACGTGTTCTGGAGAGAGTGTGCAGACGGTCACGTGTTCTGGAGAGAGTGTGCAGACGGTCACGTGTTCTGGAGAGAGTGTGCAGACGGTCACGTGTTCTGGAGAGAGTGTGCAGACGGTCACGTGTTCTGGAGAGAGTGTGCAGACGGTCACGTGTTCCTGGAGAGAGTGTGCAGACGGTCACGTGTTCTGGAGAGAGTGTGCAGACGGTCACGTGTTCTGGAGAGAGTGTGCAGACGGTCACGTGTTCGGAGAGAGTGTGCAGACGGTCACGTGTCTGGAGAGTGTGCAGACGGTCACGTGTTCTGGAGGAGTGTGCAGACGGTCACGTGTGTTCTGAGAGAGTGTGCAGAGGTAACTGTGGTTTCTGAGCAGTGTGAGACGGTCACGTGTTCTGGAGAGAGTGTGCAGACGGTCACGTGTTCTGGAGAGAGTGTGCAGACGGTCACGTGTTCTGGAGAGAGTGTGCAGACGGTCAAGTGTTTCTGGAGAGCGTGTGCAGACGGTAAAGTTGTTCTGACGAGTGTGCAGCGGTCACATGTGTTTCTGGAGAGAGTGTGCAGACGGTACGTGTTTCTGGCTGAGAGTGTGCAGACGGTCACGTGTTTCTGGGAGAGATTGTGCAGACGGTTCACGTGTTCTGGATGAGTGTGACAGTACGGTCACGTGTTCTGGAGAGAGTGTGCAGACGGTCACGTGTTATGGAGAGAGTGCTGCAGCCGGTCACGTGTTCTGGAGAGATGAGTGTGCAGACGGTCACGTGTTCTGGAGAGAGTGTGCAGACGGTCCGTGTTCTGGAGAGAGTGTGCAGACGGTCACGTGTTCTGGAAGAGAGTGTGCAGACGGTCACGTGTTCTGGAGAGTGTTGCAGACGGTCACGTGTTTCTGGAGAGAGTGTGCAGACGGTCACGTGTTCTGGAAGAGAGTGTGCAGACGGTCACGTTTTCTGGAGAGAGTGTGCAGACGGTCACGTGTTCTGGAGAGTGTGCAGACGGTCACGTGTTCTGGAGAGAGTGTGCAGAGGTCACGTGTTCTGGAGAGAGTGTGCAGACGGTCACGTGTTCTGGAGAGAGTGTGCAGACGGTCACGTGTTCTGGAGAGAGTGTGCAGACGGCACGTGTTCTGGAGAGAGTGTGCAGACGGTCACGTGTTCTGGAGAGAGTGTGCAGACGGTCACGTGTTCTGAGAGAGTGTGCAGACGGTCACGTGTTCTGGAGAGAGTGTGCAGACGGTCACGTGTTCTGGAGAGAGTGTGCAGACGGTCACGTGTTCTGGAGAGAGTGTGCAGACGGTCACGTGTTCTGGGAGAGTGTGCAGACGGTCACGTGTTCTGGAGAGTGTGCAGACGGTGTGCAGACGGTCACGTGTTCTGGAGAGTGTGCAGACGGTCACGTGTTCTGGAGAGAGTGTGCAGACGGTCACGTGTTCTGGAGAGAGTGTGCAGACGGTCACGTGTTCTGGAGAGAGTGTGCAGACGGTCACGTGTTCGAGAGAGAGTGTGCAGACGGTCACGTGTTCTGGAGAGTGTGCAGACGGTCACGTGTTCTGGAGAGAGTGTGCAGACGGTCACGTGTTCGAGAGAGAGTGTGCAGACGGTCACGTGTTCTGGAGAGAGTGTGCAGACGGTCACGTGTTCTGGAGAGAGTGTGCAGACGGTCACGTGTTCGAGAGAGAGTGTGCAGACAGTCACGTGTTCTGGAGAGAGTGTGCAGACGGTCACGTGTTCTGGAGAGAGTGTGCAGACGGTCACGTGTTCTGGAGAGAGTGTGCAGACGGTCACGTGTTCTGGAGAGAGTGTGCAGGGCCCGTCCAACCCAGCCTGTTCGTGTGCGGCCGGGAGCAGGCTGCTCCTCGCTGCGATTAGAAATGAGGTCCAGCCGCAGGAGCCTCCCGCCACCTCCTGGTGGCGTGGGGGTGCCGCTCCGGGCACCCAACCCTCCCTGGGCTCTTGGTGAGGGGGGAGCAGGTGGGCGGCGCCCTGTCCTCTGGGGAGGGGCCCTCAGAGCTCAGAGACAGGCAGCCGCACCCTCCGCCCGCGCCCCCCACGCCCGCTCTGCCCCGCTGAGCCGGGTCCGGCCACGGCCTGTCTTGCAGAAGGCGCCCCTACTGCTGCACTACAGACCCAAGATGGACCTGCTGTGACGTGCAGAGGCCCGGGCGGAGCACGGCCAGACCGCGGCCCGGGACGGACTCCTGAGCAGAGTATTTACCACTTTTGTACCAGAGTTCGCACTCGACGAGACACTACCAGCAGCACGGTGACAGCGGCGGCCCTCACCGCTCCCGGCCGCCCTCACCCTCCGCTCGCCGCCGGCCTCCCCGCCCCCAGGTCTCCAGTCTCCGCCATTCTGTTCAGCCGCTGAGTTAGGGTTCATGACAAAAGCACGCGTGTGTGGGTGGGTCCTCGCAGTCACGGAAGGCGCTTTCGCGGTGGGTGATGGCTGCATGGTCCCAGGGGATCTGGAAGGATATCGAGAGCAAAACAAAGGAGGTTGCCACTCAGTGCAGTTCCGAGGGGCTTGGTGTCCCCGTGGTGACCTGAGGGAGCCCGCGCGCCCGCCAGCACCGGCCTGGCCCCGACCCCTCATCCCCCTGCCGGCCCCGTGGTCCTCCCGAGCACCAGGCTGGCACGGGGACGGCGCTCAGGGACCCACACCCAGCCCTGGGCTCGCTCGCTCTCTCCCCCCCGTTCTCCACCCAAACACTCACGTTTCTGTGGAATCAGAAAGAACATCTGGCAGCCCACCGTGTTCCTTTAGACCAGCCCCTGGGGATGCGGACGGCAAGATTGGGGAGAAAGGCCCGTTCCCGTGTCCGTGTGGTCCTGGGCTCATGGTCACTCCGAGGGCCCCCGGCCCTGCCCCTCAGGCCTGTGGTGCCGACGCCCACCTGCTCTGTGCTGGCTTTTCCATGAAGCTCTCATTTTAGGGACTAGAGTTTTCTCCAATTGGCTCCAGACCTGTGGGCTCACGGCTGCTTCCTGTTCCATGTACACAAGCAGCTACTGATGAGCCATCAGCGCAGAGGAAAATCTCCAAATTAACTCAGTCCAGGCAATCTTAACGTAAGGCTTTGAAAGCCCTGGAAGCCCATTGTCAGGGTGGCTGAGGCGCTGCAGCCGTGACCCGGCCTGTCCGTCCACACGGTCCTCGTTGCTCTCCGAGGCCTGACGAGTGGATGTGTGTGAGCAACCACGACCTGTCTACCTCAAAACGCACATTGCCGCTGGCGCATCTGCTGAACCCAGGACCCCAGGGCGGTCTCCGAGCGTGGGGGTTCCCTGGGGTGAAGGGGGTGAGCAGCGGGAGTGTCCACCTTCAGAAACGTGGTTCCGGCTCGGACGGGGCCGGCAGTCCACGCGGCCGGCGCAGCGGCTGAGCTCCTGTGCGAACACTTGAACTTGCATTTGCTATGGTGCTAAGCTGGGCCCGACACCCAGGGGCGGGCCGGCCCAGCAGCAGCAGAACCTATTTTTCTACGATTTCCTCGCAGCAGCCCGGGCCTGCTGGGCGGACTGCGGCCGCGGCGGTCGCTTTCTCCGGAGGGAGTGCTGACGGCGGCTCCCGGCGGGGTCCCCTGCTTGTGCAGCTGGGACGGCGCTCGGCGCCCGCCCTCCCCAGCCTCGGGACTCGCCGTGCGGTTTTCACGAGAACAGAAGATGCAGATAGATATATAATATGGAATTTAAGAGTGGGGGGTTGGAAAGAAAACTTTATAAAATTATTTATTCTATTTTAAGCGTTCTATCCTATTTTCCCATCAGCCATCTGGTCCGTGCCGCTTTGTTTACAGGCATATAAGTGAAAGGGACGTGCAAGCTTCTTCCTTTGCGTTGGGTCGCCGTTTCCGTTGTGCGGTGAGGAGCGAGTTTATGCTTTCTGCTTTTGTGCAATAGGCTCCCCTGTACCGGCGTCGAGTGGCTGGGGTGTCCAGACTGCACGCCGAGCTGCTGGGTTTTCCTTTTCGTTGTTACGATAAGATGCTGTTCTCGGGACTGCCCGTCGCCTGTCAGCAGCCTTACAGATGGGACCCGGCAGGCAGGCGGCCGCATGTGTGTGGGCCTCGCACCAACTCCGTGTGCCCAGGCCCTGGCCCAGGCGCACACGCACGTGCGCGCACGCACATACACACACACACACACACACACACACACACACACACGGCAGCCCAGGTGTGAGGTGTAGTCCCAGGCCCTGCGCCCTCGGCTGTCCAGTTAGGAGTCCTTACCACCATCCTGTGCCTCCGCACACGGCTGTGCCACCGACAGAAGTGTCATTGGGGTGAGTGTTCTTGGAGCAAACCAGCTGATTCCCATGACGTTTGTCAGTGTTGGCTGTGCTCTTCACACGGGCAGTCAGGCTAGTGCAGGCAGCCGTCAGCCTCGCTCCTCAGGAACCCGGTGCACCCACCTGTCACCGGTGCCCTCAGCCCTAAGGGTGCGTCTGCCTTGGCAGACGGAGAGAGTCCAGGCCGCACTTCGCGGCGCCTGCCGGGCGGGGAGGGCCGAGCCCCCATCAGGTGTCCCCGGAGGGCAGTGTCCCCACAGCTCGCTGGGTGTGAGAAAACCACGCTTTCCCTCGGTGCGGGTTCGGGCGGAGCCTGCACGGTGGCCACACGCTGCCCCGGGTTTTGGGATGGCAATGCGGATGCATATTTTTGTTTAATTTGAAAGTTTACATTTTTATGCTTTGTGTTGGTGTGTAACTTTTGTACTATTGGTGGCTAGTTTTGTCTAAAATCTTTTTTGGAATATTGCTTAAATGTTTTGATTTTATGACAGTGAAGCTTGTATTCAGTGTTTTGCCAATTAATATTATATGCTTGTAATAAAAGCAAAGGAAACAGCTCCGTCTCCCGGCTGGGGCCATCCTCCACCACCTGTGAGAGCCCACAGTTCCGGCCTTCGCCTCGTGGCTCCACGTGGCACCTGCGACACAGAGTGCGTGAGGGGCCCGGATGGGGCGGGGGTGGGGGTGGGGAAGGCGGTGAGGGCGGGCTGGCGGGCGGGAGGCCAGCGGCAGGCAGGGTGAGCTTCCCTTGGCAGCTCGTCAGGTGCTCTGAGGACCAGACACACAGACACGCTCTGTGGACGTGGACTTCTCCAAGGAGTTTGCTCCTGGATGTGGAGGCCCAGCATCCTGGGAGGGCGCAGGCCGTGTCCGGCTCGCCATCCGGTGGCAGCGGCTCCTCCCCCTCAGCCTCTGTCCGTTCTGGCCTGTGGGGTGGAGCAGTGCCACACACTGGGGAGGACTCGGATGCACCGGGCCTCTAGTGTGCTAATAATATGCTAAGGCCGCTCAACCACTCACTATGACATGCACTGACCACCAGGGGGCAGATCCTCTGGTAGGTTAGCTTGCTGCTGGGGTCTGGCTTATCCAGACCAACACACCCTGGAGCCCTTCCATAGTCCTTCCCTGGCTGGCCAGTCTGCCACGGCCCTCCCTGGCCCCGACGGTGCACCCCTCCCTCAGCCTGGCCTGTGCCCTCTCACAATTCGGGACCCCTCGGGGGATGTTGGAGAGCTGGTTTTGGCCCAATCCCTCAGGCCAGCCCGAGGAACCTCACTACTATCTGATAAAAGACTGCCATCCAAGGTATGCAAAGAACTCATAAAACTCAAAAATGAGAAATCAACTCAAATGTGTGCAAGAGACCTGAACAGATGCCTCACCAAAGACGATACACAGATGGCAAGTAGCACATGAATAAATGCTCAAAATCATGTTACTAGAATCCTGCAAATTGTAACAGTGAGACACCTGTCCGGACGGCCGGAATCCGGGGCACGGACACCCCCGGTGCCGGCCAGGGGGGCAGCAGGCAGGGCCTCGCCCAGAGCTGGTGGGTGTGACCTGTGGCCATGCCAGTTCCTTGGCCTGTTTATGACAAAACTAAACCTATTCTTACCACGTGCTTGAGCAGCCACGCACCTTGGTATTTGTCCAAATAACATCTACCACACAAACGTTTCACAGATGTTAGAACCAACCACCAAGCTGTCCCCTGCAGGTGGACGGATATGTCTCCTCCGACAGAGGAATGCGATTGAGCGGTAAGAGACAGACGGGAGCTCTCCGGCCACGAGGGCACACGGAGGAACCGTAACCACACGTCCCTCAGGGACAGGCCAATGAGAAAAGGCCTCGGCGCCATGCAGCTTGAAGGACTGTGAAAGCTGTGCGTTCGGTGGAGCGCAGCGGGGTCCGGAGTGGGGGCGGGCAGGGGAGCGGGCGGGGTCTAGGCCGGTGAAACTGGCCTGAGTGACAGCCTCCTGGACCCGTGTCACACCTGTGTCCAGCCTCAGGGATGTGCAAGGAGACTAGGAAACGGAGCTGGTGACAGAGTTGGTTCGCACCGAGGCGGCCTGTTAGTGCAGGGGAGGCTGCTCAACAAGAAGACAATCATTTTCTCATGAAGACAACCACCCAGCTGGTTAAAACGAAGGGAGAGTCTAACGAGAGGAGACGTCTCAGAGGGACGTGTGCGCGGCCACAAATCCTGCAGGGAGGGCCACGGGGACGCACACCAGCCCAGTCGCTGCCCCTGCAAACCCCCATGGACATGCCGCCTGCAGACTGGAGGGTCTGGGTTCGATTCCCGTCAAGGGCACGTGCCTCAGTGGCAGCATCCTCCCTCTGGACCCCACGGCTCAGAGCCTCCGGAGCCCACGGCTCAGAGCCTCCAGAGCCCACGCCCGGGGCCTCCTGAGGCCGGCCCCGTTTCGGGACCGAGCTCTGCCTCCCTCCAGAATAAACCTCCGTGGTCGCCTTCGGGCGCGAGGACCTGTTTATTCCGGAGAAAGCCCTGGCCGGCCTGTCCTCGGGGCAGGAAGAGGTCACCTCAGCGCCCCGGCTGAGGCAGTGCCAGGCCTCAGCGGGACCCCCTGGGGCTCCGGGGCCAAGTGCGCCGCCTCAGGCTGCCCTCGGGCGGGAGGGAGACCCCTGGCACTGCCCCGGGCTCCTGGCGGAGGACAGGCCCCTCCGGCCCTGCTGTGGCCCCGCGCTCGCCGAGTGCGGCTCCCGGCCGGCACCCTGGGCCGGGCGGTGGGGGAGGGCGCAGGGGGCTCCTGCCCAGGAAGGGGCATCCCCCGACGTTGCCCCCGGGGCCCGCCCTGTTCCGCAGCTGCACGTCCGTCCGGAGTCACCACCGGGAGCCGGCGCCTGGGGCCTCCCCTGGAGCGCCGTCCGCAGGGCGCGGCCCCCCTGCCTTCTGCCGCCTGCCCCCTGCCCGCCATCCCCCGCCCCGCCCCCCGCCTGGGCCGCCCGGTCTTTGTTGTCTCCGCGGGGACACCAGATCCCAGAAGGGGGCCCTGGCACTGCCCTGGGCATGCAGCCAGCTCCGTAAGCGGAGCGCGGGCTCTCCCGGGAGCCCTTGGACCCAGCACCTAAGGGCCGGCCCGCCAGCTCTGAGGACGGGCCTGCCAGGGGAGGGAAGGTCACTAGGCACATGGGGTCCAGGCTGGGCGGGGGGGGGTGTGTGTGGAGGGGGGCTGGGGGAAGCTGCAGGGTGGGTGTCCTCCTGAGGTCGGCCTGCAGGGCCCAGCCTACGGAGTGGCTGCAAAAACTGGGTCCTGGATCCAGAGAAAGAGGGTGGACAGCTGCTCCCTCCGCAGGTGGAGGTGCACTGGGCAGCTCAGCGGTATCAGGACTGGAGCCCCCTGAACCCCCAGGCAGCAGGAGGGGGCGGGAGACACCCCTGCCCTGTGCTGGGCACCGAGGCAGAGGCAGGGCCATGCGCCCCACCCCACCCCCGCAGGGACGAGCGGCCTTTCTCCCTCGGAGACTGGACTTTGCGGCTCCCTGTGTGCCCAGCAGCAGTGGGAAAGCCATCGGTGACCCCACTCGCCGCTACCCGGAGAGGGGCCCTCTGGGGGAGCAAGTGCCGGGGTGCCTGTGGGCCTGGGAGGGACGTGGGGGCCCACGAGGACAGCAGGGCTGAGCTCAGGGTGGGTCAGGGCTCAAGGTTACGCAGGTCCCCGGCACCACATGGCCTCTGCCCAGAGGGCAAGCAGGTGGTATTGCAGTCTCCTGTATGGCTTCTCCGGCAGCGGGAGGCGGGCCCTGGCAGGCGGGACCCCGAGCTGCAGGGCACAGAGGCCTCCTGAGGACCCAGGAAAGGGCACAGGACAGGTGGGGCCTGGGCCCAGGAACAGCCCACAGGGTCTGGCAGGTGGTATGAGCGAGGGGGTGGCTGCAGGGGCCGGTCTGTGTGCAGGACGGTTCCCCTGGCTGGTCCCCCGTGAGGCACGTCCTTCTGCAGGCGGTCAGGGTGGTGGGGAGACCCGGCCAGCGGGGAGGGTGTCCCCCAGCTGGCACGGCCGGGGGTGTGGGTCCCCGGGTCCCCCACCCCTCCGAGGAGTCCACACGGCGTGAAATCACGTGTTTATTGGCTGTGACTCCATGGGGAGGACACGCCGGCGCCCCGTCATGCAGGAGGAGGCGCGGCCAAGGACAGACAGAGACGACACCGAGGTCTAGCTAAGCTGCTCCGGGCGCCCCATGCGCGGGAACGGGTGGGGGTCTGCTCAGAGCTGGCTCTGTGGTTACGACAGGAGTGGGCGGCGGGCGTGGGCGCGCGGTGGTATTGCAGTCTCGTGTATGGCTTCTCTGGCCGCGGCACGTGGACACGAGGGGCGGACGTGGACACGAGGGACGGACGTGGACACGAGGGACGGACGTGGACACGAGGGACGGACGTGGACACGAGGGCTGGGCGGCGTTCTGTCCAGACTCACCCCAGACACATCGACCTCTTTACCTGAGATTCAACAAGCAAGGGCGGGCACGGGCGAGGGGGCGGCCAGGCCAGGCGGCCCGAGGTCTGCGCGCCGCCCTGGGGGGGCCGGCCCTGCGGAGGGGAAGGAGGCAGGACGCCCCTGCCTCCAGGACTCGGCCCCTCCGGCCTGCTGAGGGGTGGTGTCAGAGGCGGGGGGGGGCGGCACCTCCCAGCCGCCTGGGAGAAGGCAGGGTGGCTGGGGAGCGGGTGAGTGAGGGCGTTCTGTACACACTCAGGGCGGGATGTCCGTATTGCTGTGTTTCCCTTAGTCTGGGCCGCGGCATCCTTAAGCAGCTAAGCCTTGCGGGACAGCAGGCCAAGGAAGGGGGAAGGTCAGACGGACGGACGGACAACGCACGAACGATGGGTCCGGACGGAGACGTGGGCAGCCGCGGCAGGTGTCGGTGCCGGGTCCCGGCTGACCCGACGGGGGGCTGCACCCCGCCCCCCAGCACGGCCGCCCCCACCCCCCTATGGCTGTGCTCCTGAGTTTGGGCCGAACGAGCTTGCACCGACACAGGGACCAGGGGCAGCGCCCAGGGCGGGGGCCGCCCTTTCGGGGGCCGCCTCAGGCGCTGGGGTGGGGGTGAGGGCGGGCGGTGGGGTTCCAGGTCTGGGGGAGGGTCCAGCCCACCCGCGGCCGGAGGAGCAGGGTGCGCCCGGTGGCGGCGATGGCGGGCGGGAGGGGCGGAGGCTCCCGAGGCGAGGGGGCGGGGACCTGGGACTATGGCTTATGTGGGCGCTGGGGCTGCACTCTGCTCCCGGTCCCGGGGGCCTGGGGGGGCGGGGGCGGGGGCGGGGGCGGGCGCCGTTACTTCTTGAACATGTCCTGCAGCGGCCCAGGCAGGTACTTGATGACCGTGTCCAGGATGCTCTCGTCGTCCTCCTCGGGCTCGTCCCCGCAGCCCGGCGGGATGGCCTTCTTGGGCCGCGTCAGGCTGCCCTCCGCGTTGGCCTCCATGGCAGCCTGGGCCTCGGCCTCGCGCTCCTCCTTCTTCTTGATGCCGTACTGCGGGGACAGGGGGTCAGGGCTCCCCGGGGCCCCGCCAGGCCTCCCCCACCCGTCTCCACCGGGACGGCGGGCTGTGGCCTCAGTGGGATCGGGCCGCCGGGGTCCGACAGAGCACGGAGCCCAGGACGCCGAAACCGCGTGGCTCAGCGGATAGCGTGTCGCCGGCGGACTGAAGGGTTCCGGGTTCGGTTCCGGTCAGGGGCATGTACCTTGGTTGCTGGCACATCCCCAGAGGGGGGTGTGCAGGAGGCAGCTGGTCGGTGTTTCTCTCTCGATGTTTCTATCTCTCTGTCTCTCTCCCTTCCTCTCCGTAAAAAAAAAAAGAAAAAGAAAAAACAGAACGGAGCCGAGGAGAAAGCCCCGCCCACGGAGGGCGGGTGGGAGTGGGGCTGCGGAGGGCGGGGACGGGCCCCCCTACAGGGTTCCAGGGCGCGCAGCTGGCTGCAGGCTCCAGGACTGACCGGTCCGCGCCCCCGGGAGCTCTGGCCAGGGGAGGTGTGCTCACAGGCCTCGGTGCTGGGGGCCAGGCCGGCCGTGCTGGCCTCAGGGCTTTGGGGGCGGGTCAGCCATGGACTGAGCTCCGGGCCAAGGCACTGGGTCACAAGCTCTAAAGAGGGGTGCTGGGGAGAGGGGGTCAGTGACTGACAGGTGCTGGCCCGCTGCAGGGCCGGCTGCGGGGGCTCCTGCTCTCCCCCTCCCCACTTCTCTCCATCAGCTCCTCCCCGAGAACCTGGCTCTCCAGGGCCCTCAGCTCCCGCTCCCTGGGGTGCAGGGGTGGCTGGGGCGGAGGGCGGGCTGCGCTCCGCAGAGGAATGGGAGAGGAAGCCGGGCTCCGGCTCCGGGTGACCAGCATGGCCAGGCGCCTGTGGCAGCTCTGCACCCCTCTGAGCCCCAAACCCGAGCTAGACCTCTGGGGGTCTCTCCAGGGCAGTGGGCACCCCAGAATGTCGGGCGGCAGGCACCTTCCCAGGGGCCCCCCACTGAGCATGGACTGGGGAGCAGCAGGCGGCACTCTGGGCCGCCCGGGCTCTCCTGAGTCTGCTCTGGGGGGGCCTCCCCAGGAGAGGGGAGTGCAGAGCGGGGGCCCAGGAGAGGGGAGCGGGGGCGGGGGGGTGGCCAGGAGAGGGGGGCGGGGGGGCCAGGAGAGGGGAGCGGGGCAGGGGGGCCAGGAGAGGGGGGCGGGGAGGGGGGCCAGGAGAGGGGAGCGGGGCGGGGGGGGGGCCAGGACAGGGGGGCAGGGAGGGGGGCCAGGAGAGGGGGGCGGGGGGCCAGGAGAGGGGGCGGGGAGGGGGGGCCAGGAGAGGGGGGCGGGGGGGGCCAGGAGAGGGGGGCGGGGGGCCAGGAGAGGGGGGCGGGGGGGGCCAGGAGAGGGGGGCGGGGGGGGCCAGGAGAGGGGGGCGGGGGGCCAGGAGAGGGGGACAGGGGGGGCCAGGAGAGGGGGACAGGCGGGGCCAGGAGAGGGGGCGGGGGGCCAGGAGAGGGGGACAGGGGGGGGCCAGGAGAGGGGGACAGGGGGGGCCAGGAGAGGGGGGCGGGGGGGGCCAGGAGAGGGGGGCGGGGGGCCAGGAGAGGGGGGCGGGGGGCCAGGAGAGGGGGGCGGGGGCCAGGAGAGGGGGGCGGGGGCCAGGAGAGGGGGGCGGGGGCCAGGAGAGGGGGCGGGGGGTCAGGAGAGGGGGACAGGGGGGGCCAGGAGAGGGGGGCGGGGGCCAGGAGAGGGGGGCGGGGGGGCCAGGAGAGGGGGGCGGGGGGGGCCAGGAGGGGGGGGCGGGGGGGGCCAGGAGAGGGGGGCGGGGGGGGGCCAGGAGAGGGGGGCGGGGGCCAGGAGAGGGGGGCGGGGGCCAGGAGAGGGGGGCGGGGGCCAGGAGAGGGGGCGGGGCGGGGTGCCCCGGGCGCCGGGAGGCCTCGGGGAGCCGGTGGCGCTGAGTGTGGGGAGAGGCCGGGCCGGAAAGTAGGTCAGCCGAGCGGGAGCCGAGCCTCCTCCCGCCAGGACGCCCGCACGTGGTGGGGACACGCGTGGGCCGGGCCCCCAGGGGCTGTGCGGCCCAGAGCCCACGCCCACGCGGTGAGGCGGGCACACACGTGTAAGCAGGGGTGAGGCGGGCACACGTGTAACGGAGGATGTGGTGCCCGTGGAGCGGAGACCTCTGACCAGGGGCTGGGACCCTCAGCCCAGAGGCTCGGGGGCTTTCTGAGGCCAAGGCCACTCGCCCTGGACTGGACCTGAGGGTCAAGTTTACCCCGAGGGTCAAGGTTACTTCTGAGCGGGCTCCACCTCAGCCGGCCCCACGGGTCCTGCTGGGAGCCTGTCTGCGGCTCCCGTGCCCACCATCTCCGCTGTTCACCACCCCCGTCCTCGCTGGCCCGAGAGCCGCTGACCTGCAGCCCGGTGGCTGGACGGTGAGAACCAGCGGTCATGGGCAACCGCCCCCCTCATGGCGCTGGGTCATGGGCGTGCCGGACCTGGGGACACCGGGGGTCACCCTGGGCGGCCGCAGGGAGGTGCAGGCACTGAGCCCGCGCTGGCCACCAGGGGGCGCCCTGCCCCAGCAGGTCAAGGGGCTGTGGGCCTGTGCACCTCTGGGAGCTGAGTGCTCCTGGGAGGGGCCTCGCTCTGGAGGTGAGAGGGTGAGGGGGCAGACCTGGGCCCGCCATAGGCCTGCCAGACCTCCTGCTGCCTCTGACCAGGCCGTGGGGCTCCTCACAGTCTCTGTCTCTGTCTCTGTCTCTCTGTCTCCATCTCTGTCTTTGTCTCTCTGTCTCTCTCCCTGTCTCCATCTCTGTCTTTGTCTCTCTCTCTCTCTATCTCTCCCTGTCTCCATCTCTGTCTTTGTCTCTCTCTCTCTGTGTCTCTCTCTGTCTCCATCTGTCTCTGTCTCTCTCTGTATCTCTCTCTGTCTCCATCTCTGTCTCTGTCTCTCTGTGTCTCTCTCTGTCTCCATCTCTGTCTCTATCTCTCTTTGTCTCTGACTCTCTCTGTCTCTGTCTCTGTCACTCTCTGTCTCTCTGTCTCTGACTGCCCTCTGACGACCCCATCTGGTCCTGTCTCCCCACCAGTCCCGAGCCCCCGGGCACAGCCTGTGTGGGGTGCCCCACAGCTCCGGCTGCAGCCGCCGTCCTGGGGCAGCTTGTGAGCTGCTCCTGCAGGTCCCAGGAAGGACCTCTGGGTGTGGCCCCATGCCCACTGATGTGGGTGCAGAGGCTGCGGCTGCCCTGCCCTCCTGCCCCCCACCCCCAGGACCCCTGGGACCCCCCACGAGGACAGGACAGCGTCAGGAGCAGAGGGCAGGGACCCCCAGGGGACAGCTCCCATAGCTCTGTCAGCAGCCCCAGCTCTGTCCACTGAGCTTAATGAGGGGGGCCATTCGGCATGGCTCAGGGGCTGAGCATCAACCTGCAAACCAGGAGGCCAGGGTTCGATTCCCGGTCAGGGCACACTCCTGGGCTGCAGGTCGATCCCCAGGGGGTGTGTGCAGGGGGCAGCCCATCCATGATTCTCTCTCATCGTGGATGTTTCTATCTCTTTCTCTCTCCCTTCCTCTCTGAAGTCCATAAAAATATAATTTTTAAAAGCGGGGGGTGGAGAGAGGCCCCCTAACCCCCAGCCCTCAGCCCCCCCCCAGGCAGCATCCCAAGCTGGGTCCTGCCCCCCCCGGAGGTCCCTGGGGGCGGGGCGGGTGTGCTCCCTGTCCCGGACCCAGCACCCCCTCCGAGGCCCACCTTGTCCCGGATGCCCTGCCGCATGGCCTCGCGCTCCGCCTCCATCTTGGCGTACTTGGCCTTGCGCTCCTCCTCCTCCTGCCGCAGCGCCTCCTGGCGCTCCTCCTCCTTCTTGGCCGCGTCAGGGTCCTTCTCCTCGTCGCCCCCCAGCATCTTGCCCATGTCCTTGGTGGCCCCTGGAGCGGCAGGCGGGGGAGACGGGCAGCTGGGTTCTGTCCACCGGGAATCCTGGGCGTGCGGGGTGGGGGCAGCGTGTGTGCAGGCACGTGTAGGGAGCAGGGAGCCTGTGTGCGTGTCTGCGCGCGTGTGTCTGCGTGTGTGTGTGAGTGTGTATGCCTGTGTCTGCCCCTGTGTGTGTGTGTGTGTCTGCCTCTCTGTGTGTGTCTGCATGTGTGTGTGTGTGTGAGTGTGTGTGTCTGCCTGTGTGAGTGTGTCTGCGTGTGTCTGAGTGTGTGTGTATGTGTCTGCGTGTGTGTGTGTGTGTGTGTGTCTGCCTGTGTGAGTGTGTGAGTGTGTGTGTGTCTGCCTGTGTGAGTGTGTCTGCGTGTGTCTGAGTGTGTGTGTATGTGTGTGTGTGTCTGCCTCTGTGCGTGTGTGTGAGTGTGTGTGTCTGCGTGTGTCTGCGTGTGTGTGTCTGCCTGTGTGTGTCTGAGTGTGTGAATGTATGTGTGTGTGTGAGAGTGTGTCTGCCTATGTGTGTGTGAGTGTGTGTCTGCCTGTGTGTGTCTGCGTGTGTGTGTGTCTGCGTGTGTGTGTCTGCATGTGTGTGTGTCTGCCTATGTGTGTGTGTCTGCCTGTGTGTGTGTCTGCGTGTGTGTCTGCCTGTGTGTGTGTGTCTGCGTGTGTGTGTCTGCGTGTGTGTGTGTCTGCCTATGTGTGTGTGTGTCTGCCTGTGTGTGTCTGCCTGTGTGTGTGTGTCTGTGTGTGAGTGTGTGTGTCTGCCTGTGTGTGTGTCTGCGTGTGTGTGTGTGTCTGCGTGTGTGTCTGCCTATGTGTGTGTGTGTCTGCGTGTGTGTGTGTCTGCGTGTGTGTGTGTGTGTCTGCCTGTGTGTGTCTGCGTGTGTGTGTCTGCCTGTGTGTGTGTCTGCGTGTGTGTGTCTGCCTGTGTGTGTGTCTGCCTGTGTGTGTGTGTCTGCCTGTGTGTGTGTGTCTGCCTGTGTGTGTGTCTGCCTGTGTGTGTGTCTGCGTGTGTGTGTGTGTGTCTGCGTGTGTGTCTGCGTGTGTGTGTGTCTGCCTGTGTGTGTGTGTCTGCGTGTGAGTGTGTGTGTCTGCGTATGTGTGTGTGTCTGCCTGTGTGTGTGTCTGCCTGTGTGTGTGTGTGTCTGCGTGTGTGTGTGTCTGCGTGTGTGTGTGTGTGTGTCTGCCTGTGTGTGTGTGTGTCTGCCTGTGTGTGTGTCTGCGTGTGTGTGTGTGTGTGTCTGCGTGTGTGTGTGTGTGTGTCTGCCTGTGTGTGTGTCTGCCTGTGTGTGTGTGTGTCTGCGTGTGCACACGTGAGCCCCTGAAACAGGCGGCCGTGTGTCTTCTTTGGGGCTCGTATCCGGCCACGGCCCAGCCCCGGGACTGAGTGGCTGGTGCGCCGGGCACAGGGGCAGCGAGGGGGGCACTGCGGTGGGCACATGGCAGCCTGGAGCAGCCGCCCCGGGCCAGACCCCCTTCAGCCGAGGAGCCGCCCGTCCCGCACGCCCCCGTGGGACTCCTGTTCCCAGGCCGCCGCCCCACACTCGGACCCTCCGTCCCTGAGGGCGACCCCTCTGACCCCTCATCGCCCGTGAGCCTGCCCGCGGCTGGCCAGCACGCGCCTCGGGACTAAGCCTGCAGGGGAGACACAGAGCCCGGGCCGCCTGAGGGGGTGCCCACGCAGGCCCGTCCCCGGCCCGGCCCCACCCTCCCCTCCAGCCTGGGCGTCGGGGCCACGGTGCCGAGCTGTGCTGCCCGGTCGGACCAGACGGGACCTGAGCAGCCCTCCCTGCAGGTCACCTCTGCCAGCCGCTCGGGAGCGACCCCGTGTGGCGGGCACCGCCGGGAGCCACGGCTGTGGGCGGGAAACCCCGGAGGGCTGTGGGCCGTGGGATCCCAGAGGGCTTTCTCGCCAGAAGCGTCGGAGGCTGTGGGTGTGAGAGGCCCAGGTGGCCCGGTCACCGCGGCCCCGTGGGCACGGGTCCAGCCGGCCAGAGCCTCCAGTCCGGGTCCAGCCACCTCGGCACAACTTTGACTCGAGGGAAACTGGGTCACGGAGCCGCTTGCACAGCCTCCGACACCCCCGTCAGGAGGCCAGACCTGCCGCTCCCTCGGGAGGGTGTGGGGGAGGCAAGCGCGAACCCGGCCACCCAGGGACTCGGACCTGTGCCTGGAAGGCGCCCAGCAGACATCTGGCTGATGACGAATTTTAGCGTCTGTCGGCCGCGGGGACCTCACGCCCACAGCTAATGCCCGCAGCGGGCTCAGTCACAGACGCCCTCCCCGGAGGACCCGGCCTTGCACCAGCACGAAAGACGGCGGGAAGGTCAATAGACAGAAGCAGCCCGGCCGGCGGGGCTCAGTGTGTGAACATCAGCCTAGGAGCCAGGAGGTCAGGGTTCGATGCCCGCTCGGGCACAGGCCCGGGGTGCAGGCTGGGTCCCCAGTGGGGGGGGTGCAGGAGGCCGCCCATCCATGATTCTCTCTCATTGATGTTTCTCTCCGTCCCTTCCTCTCTGAGATCCATAAAAATGTTTCTTAACAAAGAAAAGCTGGCGGTTGTTGACAAAGGACAGGCCCGTCAGCCAGAGAATCGAAGGGCCGGGGACGGAGGCTCTGGAGAGACGGGTGGGTAAACAACAAGCGAACAAGGGAATGTGAGGTCCTCGCTGACAGGACAGGGTGAACCTCACGTGCGAGGAGCTCGTCCACGGGCCAGGGCGAGCCTGCAGCCCAGGCACCTGCCCGGGACCAGAATCGAACCCGGGACCCTTTGGTCCGCAAGCCGACACGCTACCCACTGAGCAACATCTGCCAGGACTACTGACTTTTTAAAACAGATAGCTCGTGGGGAAGGGCTAGTCTTTAGGTAAGGCTCGTTCCCGCTGCCTCACCCCGCACAGCCCGCCCACCCTGTTGTGAGGAAGTCTTGCCTGCAAATGCGGAAAAATGAGGAAGGTGGAGCTCCCACCTGCTGGGAGGGTGTGGATGTCCCACAGGGCCCCAGGGAAGGCGAGGGCCCCAGCACCCGGCTGCGGCCTCGGCTCTGACAACAGGAGCCGGAGCGATGCTGTCACAGGGCCCGTCCCTCTAAAGCAGACACCCCCCCCCCCCCAGCAGGGCTCGCACCCCGGCCCAGTCCCGGGAGGGCCATCCTGGCTCAGGGAACAAACCAGGTTCTAGCAGAGCTTCTGGCTCTCCCACCCACCCCGCCGGCCAAGGTCAGACCAGCCCAAGGACGACCCGGTTAGAGGGAAACTGCGGGCACAGGGAGCCCACCCCTCCGGCCGCCTCCTGAAGGTGACCTGCCTCCCCACTCCCTCCTCACCCCCACCTGCGGCCCGCAAACCTCTGCTGGCTGCTGGGGTTCCGCTGGGAGCAGCCCCGCCCCTCGCCGCGGCCGCCCAGCCGGCCAAGCGGAGCGCCGAGCGTCTGGTCTCGGCTTTGGGGCCAGGACACACAGAGACGAGGAGATGAAGACGCCAATTAGCGAGCCGTCAGACAAGCTCGCCAGATGGCACGGCGGGGCTTCAGGGACAGGAGTAATCCCTCCATTCAGCCTCTCTGCCACTCACTCACCTCCCCCCAGGCTGCACAGCGCGGGACCTGTCTGAGGGACAGGAGGGTGGGGCAGGGCCCAGAGGGGGAGCCGACCCCTGCCCCCCTCCCACACCTCCTGCCCCTGAGACGGCCGAGCGAGCAGTGGCCGGGAGGCTCCCTCCCTGAGGGCCTGGCAAACAGAAGCCCCTTCTAACCCCCCTGCCCTCCCCCACCCCCCACTCCGACCTGGGGGAGCCCCAGGTGGGCTGCCATGGTCCGGACACAGACTGTGTGCCCCAAGGCGGGTGACGCACAGACACCTGAACCGCGGCTTTTGGGCCAAAATAGCCACTTTGCCTGCTTGGGCCTGAGGAGTGTCGACCCGGCCATGAACCAGGGAGCCTGGTCAGGCCCCAAGAGCAGAGGCCCCCAGGCCCTGCCTGTCCCCTCATCGGACACACTGTGTGCGCCTCCCACGCCCACTCCGGGCCGCGGCTGGTGTGTCTGCGCCCGTCTCCTCTGCCCTGGCCACAGCTGCCCCCCGTCCTTCGGGAAACAGCGGCGGGCGGGCCGGACGGTCCATGTGCCGGCACTGCGTCCCTCCACTCGCCGCCGGGGCCCTGTGGTGCCGGAGGGTGGGGCACCGCGGGTGGAGGGCACTTCGCGGCCGGGCCAGCTCGGCCAGGCGGGCTCCAGCCCGGGTGCTCCGGGCCCGCGAGACGAGGCCCAGCAGAGCCAGCCGGGCACTGGGGGCCGAAGTCACCCCGCCGCCTCCTGAGGTCCCCACCAGGCAGTCACCTGGCAGCCACTGTCCCAGCAGCGGCTTTGCCTGAGACGGGGTCCGGGCGGGAGAGGAGGTGCCGGGCGTGTGTCCTGGCGGAGGACCTGCCGCTGCGGCCGCCGCACTGACCAGCTGGGCACAGCCTCGGGGCAGCACCCACCTCGGCCGCAGGGCGTCCTGGCCTCCTCTGCAGGCCGCCTGCGGGCTGTCGGGTCTCTGCCCTCTTCCCCCTCCCCTCTCGTTGGGATGCACCTGTGTCTGCTGTCTCTGTCCTTCCCTGCGTCCCCGCTCAGCCCTCTCTGCTCACACACCCGGGCCCGTCTCCATGGGGTCCTCAGCCCATGTCCAGGCCCCGTCTCTCCCTTGAGGCTCCGGCAGCTGCGCCCCTGCCTGGCTCCCAGAGGCCTCGCTGCTTGCAGTCTGTCTCCCATCTGTCTGCCTCCATCTCGTCTCGCACGTCCCGGGGCGCGCTCTGGCGCTCTCGCGCGCTCTCTCTCTCTCTCTCTCTTCTCTCTCTCTCTCTCTCTCTCTCTCTCTCTCTCTCTCTCTCTCTCTCTGGTTTCTGTTCCATATCTCCTCTCTCCGCTCCATCCCTGTCCCCGCTTCTCTGGGTTCCCCTCTTATGGCCGTTTCCAGGTCAGTCCTGCAGGTCCCTCTGTGCCCGGCCGTCTGTCTCCCTCAGAATGTTCCTGGCCTCTGCCCGTCTCGCTGTCACCGCGCCCAGAGACGGCAAACAGAACAGAAACCCAGTCCCACAGGAGGTCAGTGCAGCCCTAGCCCCATTCCCCTCCCGCCCCCCAGTGCCAGGACGGCGAGCGCCCGGGAGCACTGGGCAGCCAGTCACCCTGGGCGGCCCCTCACAGCTCTCACACCCCCAGGGGGCCCGTCACCGCCCCCGGGGGAACTCTGGGCAACACGCTGAGGGCGTGCGGCTGGCAGGCACCCAGCTCACTACAGCCGCGCCGACAGCCACAGCGAGACGGGTTTTCCGACGAGCCCACCTCTGGGCCCGAATTAGCCGCCTAATTAATTATCTGCTGCAGCTGGCGCTGCCGCGGCCCGGGTGCCAGGGTGCCGCGCCGTCCTGAACCCGTCCCGGTGACGTCATCCTCATAATTAGACGCAGCCCGAGGCCTGTCTGTCCTCGACCCTGAGTCCCGGGGCTGTGGCCCGGCCAGGCCCGCGTCTGCCCCGTCTCTTCCCGGGAGACACGCCACTGAGCCCCTCTGTGCCCGTCCCTGACGCAGCGCCCAGCTCTGCCCCACTCCCGACCCCGAATGCCACGCAGCCGACGCCAGCGCCAGGGTGGGGCCAGGGAGATGCCCTCGCAGCGGCCGTCGTGGCCCCTGGGAGCCGGGCCCCATCACGGGAGGCGGGATGGCCCCCCGCCGGGCTGACCAGAGTGCCCTGCTCTGTGCCTGTGGACCCACATCCGGGGCCGGAGCCAAGTAGGCACAGGATGCCCTTCAAACGGGGCCAGCAGGTTGAGAGGTCCCCTCCCCCCAAACACAGGAGGTCGCCCTGGGCATGGGGGAGCGGCTCCCCACTTTCCGGAACACTTCCCTTGTCTGGTGCTCAGCCAGCCTGTGTCCCCTCTGCCCCCACCCCAGGCCCAGGCTGTGGCTCTGCTCCCCGAGGGGCCCCCAGCCTGCAGGAGGATTGTCCCTCGAGCCCCCGACACCCTCCCTGGGGCGCGCCCCAGCCCAGGAGGCGCTGGCTGCGGCCTGCTGGGCGCACCTGCCCCCCCCTCCTACCTCCCAGGGCCTGCTTCATCACGAACTCCATGGCACCGGCGTCGCTTCCTCAGCGGACCTCCGGGGTCCCAACTCACAATCAAGTGTGGCCAACGAGTCCTGGGCCTGGAGAGAGGAGCGGGTCACAGGCCGCCAGCCTACCTGCAGGGCTTCCTCCTCGTCCTGCGCCCCCCCCCGCCTCCCCCCACACCCCCTCCCCCGAGTGCGCTGGGGTCTGGGAGAGCGTCATGCCTGGGCCCTGCCGGGAGGGGACCCCGGGTGGCTCCCTGGCCAGGGCAGCAGGTCCCAGGACCCCGCTGGGTCTGCAATGGCCTCAGGGCCCCGAGTGCCAGAGCAGGGATGGGGTGCTCAGTCTTGGGGAGAAGCCAGCCTGCGGGAAGCAGGGGCAGGCACAGGGGCATTTGAAGGTGACTGCCTCTGCTGCCTCCTGGTGGGCCCGGGCCAGGCAAGGGGGGCCGGGCTCCATCCAACAATCAGGTTTGGGGGGGCGAATGGGTACCCCTCAGGGAGGGCCCTGTGGCTGCGGGTGGAAGTGTTGAGAGGCCTGGCTCCATCCAGGGGAGACCTGTGCCCACTGCCACCGGCCCACCAAGAAGAGGGGGTGGGAGAGCCGGGGGGGGGGGCAGACCACCCCTGGGGAAGACACCCCTCCACCTGCCTCTGAATGGGGCGCCCAGGTCCAGGTCAGGCAGCCCTCTGGTGGGGGTGGTGCTTCCTGTAAGACCTGCCTGTGCAGGGGGGACCCCTCGGAGCCTCTGCTTCCCGGCTCCCTCCCTCCGCAGGGGACCCGCTGGGCGCTGGGCGCTGGGGGAGGGCGGGGGGCCCTCAAAGCAGATCCTCCTCCAAACTTCTCCCCTGGCTCCCGGGGAGAGGGGACCGCGCCCCCCCCCCTCCCCGAGGTCGGGGTGCTGCTGGGCTCCCCAGGGCGCGGGCTTGGCCGCAGTCCCTCCGGGCTTTGCGGCAGGCGAGCTGCCCGGCTCTGCGGAGCAGCGGGGGGGTGGGGGGACCGGGGAGGGAAGGAGCCAGAGGACAGGGGGAGCGGGGCGCGCGGGGGCGGGGGTCCGGGGTCAGGACCGGGATCGGAGCCTGAGGGAGGGCGCGCGGACGGGGCCGTTTCAGCACCGCGGGGTGGACAGCGCCCGGCTGCGGGAGCCTGCCCGGCGGGCCGGGCTGGATGGAGCGAGCGGCCAGGGATGGGGATGGGGATGGGGATGCGGCCGGGGATGGGGATGGGGATGGGGATGCGGCCGGGGATGGGGATGGGATGGGGCCGGGCCGGGCCCAGGCGGACTGCGCGGGCCGTTACCTCTCCGGCCCGGGGTGCGGGCTGGCGCGGTGCGGGCTGGCGGCGTCAGCGGCGGGGCGCGCTCGGGCGGGCCGGGTCCATGTGGCGCCGGGAACTGCGGCGGCGGCTGAAGGGCACGGAGGAGGCGCGTCACCCGGAGCCTCCGCCCCCGAGCGTGACGGGCGGGCGGGGCGGGGACTGCGGAGCCGCACCCCCATCTTCCCCCAGAGCCCTCCCCGCCGGATTCGGGGTGCGGGATCCGGGGGCCCCCGGCCGCCTGATCCCAGACCCGCGCCCCCGCGTCCCCGCGCCCCCGCGCCCCGCGGTGGGTTCCCGGTGGGTCCCCCTCCGCCCGCGGCCCGCACTCCCCTGGCCGGTCCTTCCTGAGCGGGTGCGGGGCCAACACCCGCAAACCGAGGGACAGCCCTCCTGGGGCTGGGAGGGGGTCGCTCCGCCACGGGAGGGGTGCCGGGCGCGGGGGCAGGGGTCCCGAACCACAGTGGCGCCCACCCGCCCTCGGGCCCAGCCCCCGGCGGACAGAGGCCTGTTTGTCCATGAAAGTGACCGAGGCCGTGGGGGGGCGGGGGGCGGGCTCTCTCCCCGCCCCCGGCGCCCGCCCCGCCCCGCCCCGCCCCGCCCCGGCCTCCGGAGCTGCACTGCGGCGGCGGTCGCTGCAAGGTCGCGGCCCGCCTCCGCCTCCGCGCCGCCCTCCCGCCCGCCCCGCGCCGCTGGGGCAGGGGGGGGGGGCGGGAGGCGGGAGCGGGAGCGGAGCGGCTGCGGTCCCGGCTGAGTCACGGGAGTCAGACCGAAGGGTCGGACCTGGGGCTGCCCCCGCCCCCGCCCCTCCAGGCGCCCGGGGCTGGGCTGGCGGGAGGGCAGCACAGGGGCCTCGCCAGGACTGCAGACCCCGAAAATGGGAGGAACACATTTCTGCCTCTTGTTCCTCATTTTAAATATACTTCCTTTAATCGACTTTAGAGAGAGAAGAGGGGGGAGGGAGAGAGTACCATCAACGATGAGAATCATGGACCGGCTGCCTCCTGCACGCCCCCCACTGGGGATGGAGCTCACAACCCCAGCTTGTGTCCTGACCAGGAATCGAACCGTGACCTCCTGGTTCATAGGTCAACGCTCAACCACAAAGCCACGCTGGCCCACCCTTCCATCTCTTCATGAGATGGGTCAAAGGTCAGGCCTTGAGCAGGTCTGGGGACGGAAGCTGTGGAGGGTCACCCGCACAGGGTCCTTGTCCCCTGGATGGGATGACCCACAGCCGACTCCTGTGGGCAACCCCCCAGAGCACCCCACAAGCCACCTGCAGAGACACCCCCTGACCTGCAGGCACAGGCTGGGGGTGCAGCCTGCAGACCGGGGAGGTGCAGGCCTTCAGAGCAGGCAGGCAGGGCCCAGCCCCAGTGATGGCGTCTGCAGCCCCCATTGCACCCACACCCTGAGCCAGGGCTCAGTGGCCGGCACAGGCTCAGGCCAGAGGCTCTGCTGGCCCTCCATGTCTGTCCCTCCCTCTCCCTGGGGTCACCATCCAGAGGGCAGCTGTGGGGCCAACATCTCCCTCCCTACCGGTCTCCCTCTCTCTGTTGTTACCCGTCTTACCTCGCACAAGGGCACCTCAGTCCCCATCTGCCCGGCCCCGAGCCAGGGTGTCAGCCTCCCAGAAGACAGACAGGAAGCTGGAAGGCAGGCCCGCGTGATGGGCGCTTGGGAGGAAGAAGGCGGCAAGGGAAGCGGGGAGGGAGGACCGGAGGGCGCAGTGCGGCAGAGCAGAAGGGAGAAAACGACACTTGGTGCCCAGCAATGGGCGAGCACAGGCCAGGCTCCTGGGCCACAGAGCAACACCAGGAGAACCAGTCCTGTGAGCGCGGGAGGAGGAGGAGGAGGAGGAGGAGGAGGAGGAGGAGGAGGAGGAGGAGGAGGAGGACCCGGTGCTGTGAGCGCGGGTGGAGGAGGAGGAGGACCCGGTGCTGTGAGTGCAGGAGGAGGAGGAGGAGGAGGAAGAGGAGGACCCGGTGCTGTGAGCGCGGGTGGAGGAGGAGGAGGACCCGGTGCTGTGAGTGCGGGGGGAGGAGGGGGAGGAGGAGGAGGAGGAGGACCCGGTGCTGTGAGTGCGGGGGGAGGAGGAGGAGGAGGAGGAGGAGGAGGAGGAGGAGGAGGAGGACCCGGTGCTGTGAGTGCGGGTGGAGGAGGAGGAGGACCCGGTGCTGTGAGCGCGGGTGGAGGAGGAGGAGGAGGAGGAGGAGGAGGAGGAGGAGGAGGACCCGGTGCTGTGAGCGCAGGGGGAGGGGGAAGAGGAGGAGGAGGAGGAGGAGGACCCGGTGCTGTGAGTGCAGGAGGAGGAGGAGGAGGAGGAGGAGGAGGACCCGGTGCTGTGAGTGCAGGAGGAGGAGGAGGAGGAGGAGGAGGACCCGGTGCTGTGAGTGCAGGAGGAGGAGGAGGACCCGGTGCTGTGAGCGCGGGTGGAGGAGGAGGAGGACCCGGTGCTGTGAGTGCGGGGGGAGGAGGAGGAGGAGGAGGAGGAGGAGGAGGAGGACCCGGTGCTGTGAGTGCGGGGGGAGGAGGAGGAGGAGGAGGAGGAGGAGGAGGAGGACCCGGTGCTGCGAGTGCAGGAGGAGGAGGAGGAGGAGGAGGAGGAGGACCCGGTGCTGTGAGCGCGGGAGGAGGAGGAGGAGGAGGAGGAGGAGGAGGAGGACCCGGTGCTGTGAGCGCGGGTGGAGGAGGAGGAGGAGGAGGACCCGGTGCTGTGAGCGCGGGTGGAGGAGGAGGAGGAGGAGGAGGACCCCATCCAGAACAGACCCAGACCCACACCAGCTGAGCTAGGCCGGGCGCTTATGCGAATCTCCATCGGAGAGGAAGGCGGGCTGAGGGGGCTGGAGCCCCATGTGACTCGTCAGGCACCTAGGAGTGGAATCTGTCCTGATGGCATTGGGCCTGGACGGAGGTAGGGTGGGACCCGCCGTCCACCGGTCCCCCCGCCCCCTCGGTCACTCCAGATGGCAGAGGCAGCTGCTGCCCTCCCTGCACCAGTCCCCACCCGCCTCTCCGGAGGCCCCTGCTGGGCACCCTGGCGCCCTCCACGGAGGCTGACTGGTGCCAGCTGTCCGCGGGCACCCCGGCATTCCCGTGCCGGGGCACCCTGCTGCATGTGGCGGGCAGGGGGTGCAGACCCTGAGGGGCCTGGGAGGGGCTCCCGGCACACCTGGGGCTCCCCAGACACTTCACATGCAAACTTGATAGCTTAACAAACTGAATGGCAGGCCCTGGCCCGCCCACCACTGGGCCATCTTCCCTCGGGATCTGTTATTACTGAAAAGGCTGCAGCAGGGAGCAGGGCGTGAGCAGCTGGGCAGGATGGAGTTGCCACGTGGTGCCCCATGGGGTAGGTCTGGTCTCAGAGGCTCAGTGCTGCCCAGTCTGGGTGCCCAGCTCGATCCCCAGACCCCGTCGTCCTGGTGCTGAGACGGGCCTGGCTGGGTGTCCTCACTGTCCGTTCCCACAGAGGCCCTGCGCCCAGGCTGTTGGGCACAGGGGCCACGCTTCCTGCTCCCTCCCACACTCACCGCACACCTGGCCTCCGTCCGGCAGTAAACCCCATACCAGCCCTGCCACACGGCACTGAGGCCACATCACAGAGACCACATCACAGAGACCACGGCACAGAGGCCACGGCACAGAGACCACGGCACAGAGACCACGGCACAGAGACCACGGCACAGAGGCCACATCACAGAGACCACAGCACAGAGCCCACAGCACAGAGACCACGGCACAGAGACCACGGCACAGAGGCCACATCACAGAGACCACGGCACAGAGACCACGGCACAGAGCCCACAGCACAGAGACCACGGCAACAGAGACCACAGCACAGAGGCCACAGCACAGAGACCACAGCACAGAGACCACGGCACAGAGACCACGGCACAGAGACCACGGCACAGAGACCACAGCACAGAAATCACAGCACAGAGGCCACAGCACAGAGACCACGGCACAGAGACCACAGCACAGAGCCCACAGCACAGAAATCACAGCACAGAGGCCACAGCACAGAGACCACGGCACAGAGACCACAGCACAGAGACCACAGCACAGAGACCACATCACAGAGGCCACATCACAGAGACCACGGCACAGAGACCACAGCACAGAGACCACAGCACAGAGACCACAGCACAGAGACCACATCACAGAGGCCACATCACAGAGACCACGGCACAGAGACCACAGCACAGAGACCACAGCACAGAGACCACATGACAGAGGCCACGGCACAGAGACCACGGCACAGAGGCCACAGCACAGAGGCCACGGCACAGAGGCCACGGCACAGAGGCCACAGCACAGAGACCACAGCACAGAGGCCACAGCACAGAGGCCACGGCACAGAGACCACGGCACAGAGACCACGGCACAGAGACCACGGCACAGAGGCCACGGCACAGAGACCACGGCACAGAGACCACAGCACAGAGCCCACATCACAGAGACCACGGCACAGAGGCCACGGCACAGAGGCCACATCACAGAGGCCACAGCACAGAGGCCACAGCACAGAGGCCACAGCACAGAGGCCACGGCACAGAGACCACGGCACAGAGGCCACATGACAGAGACCACAGCACAGAGCCCACATCACAGAGACCACGGCACAGAGGCCACAGCACAGAGCCCACATCACAGAGACCACGGCACAGAGGCCACGGCACAGAGACCACAGCACAGAGACCACAGCACAGAGACCACGGCACAGAGGCCACGGCACAGAGGCCACAGCACAGAGGCCACAGCACAGAGACCACAGCACAGAGACCACGGCACAGAGGCCACATGACAGAGACCACAGCACAGAGCCCACATCACAGAGACCACGGCACAGAGACCACAGCACAGAGACCACGGCACAGAGACCACACAGAGGCCACGGCACAGAGACCACAGCACAGAGACCACAGCACAGAGACCACAGCACAGAGGCCACAGCACAGAGAGGCCACGGCACAGAGACCACAGCACAGAGACCACAGCACAGAGACCACAGCACAGAGGCCACAGCACAGAGACCACGGCACAGAGGCCACACAGAGGCCACGGCACAGAGACCACAGCACAGAGACCACAGCACAGAGACCACAGCACAGAGGCCACAGCACAGAGACCACGGCACAGAGGCCACAGCACAGAGGCCACATGACAGAGACC